TTTTGCCTGTGGGTTTAAGTATATATCAAGCGAAGCCTCTCTTGCGTGCTCCAATAATTCCCCAGAGTAACTACTAGTGAACCAGCTCGTTCTCTCGATTTGACTCTCCGTAAAAATTACAACCGTTCATCCTAATCAGAAACGCACGTACCCAAGCAACCCTCTTAACCTATCGAATCCGATGCATAGAAAATGTTATTATTTGTAAGCCGTTACTGAACACGTTGCATTTGTAACGTTGGTTACGAATAAACAACAAGACCTATTACTTGAAAGGACGGGATAGTTGCTCATTCATTCGAAATCCTCGTTAGTAATTGATGTTTATTTCCCTCTCGTGATGGAAGCGTAGTTTGTGTTAAAGTGGCCATCAGAGGCTTCCCGGGAGGATAGCCTAGGAGGATGTCCCACTCTGGATATCCTGGGGAGTGTTGACCTGAATGTCCCACTCTGGATATCCTGGGAAGTGTTGATCGGGCTGTCGACTTAAGCAGGACCATGGTAACATGATCCTGCTCTGGCAATATACAACGAGGAGACAAGTGCGTACATTTCCCTCTGGCAAGAGGGAAATGTTGATGCTCTCCTCTGTTGATGTTTGCGAAGCATTTATATACCTCTTAGTAAACAACAGCGTCGTGGATCTCAACATAAGTTGCGGATATATTGCTTGTCATTTGTCAGTTGAAATTGCACTGGCACGGATAGGTTCAGTCACGCACGCGCGCACTCTAGAGAGCGCACGCACACACACAAATCCACGGACGCAAGTATACACACACGATCGACGATTTCACAATGAAAGATCAACGAGATCTTCACGAAAGAGCAACGAGGTTATAATGAAAACCCAACGAGATATCAGTGAAAGTCCAACGAGGTCTTGATGAAAGACCAACGAGATATCAATGAAAGGCCAACGAGGTTTCCCTGAAAGACCAACAAGATCTTAATGAACGTTGAGCAAGAACACTAGCGAGAGGGAATGGCTCCTTCCTGTGAGAGGCTCCAAGTGGCATACCTTAAGGAGGGGTGCCTCGCCTCTTGTGTTTATTGTGTCCATAAATTAATATTTGGCTGATGAAATATTAAACGGTATGACTTGATGAGTCGGGCCCAGCCTGACTTGATGAGTCGGGTCCAGCCTGACTTGATGAGTCGGGTCCAGCCTGACTTGATGAGTCGGGTCCAGTCTGACTTGATGAGTCGGGTCCAGCCTGACTTGATGAGTCGGGTCCAGCCTGACTTGATGAGTCGGGTCCAGCCTGACTTCATGATCCGGGTCCAGCATAAATTGCAAGTTGTACTTTATAAGTTACATGTTTACTTTCATCAATTGCAATACATATGCAGTCTTCACACTCTCTTCGATCTGTGGGTTAAAGGTAAATCACATATCCGTGGATGAGGATAAAACTACCATATATCCTAATGGGCAGGAAACTTGTTCGAAAATATACACTGTAAAAAACATCCAGAATAGGGGATAATATGTAAAGAAATGAAATATAAGACATGAAAATATATCTTTAAAATCACAATAATACGTAATTAGCGTTGATAATCTTCCTAATGACAGTAATTGATGCACATATAGAGTTACGCAACGAGAGGGTCCAGAGGGTCTGCTGACGTGGGGAGGCTCTCTAAAACCCCAGCTTTCAAGTAGCGACGTCATATCCTCCTAAAACAAAATATTCAGTCACCATTAATAATTTTAGAGTTAAGACAATATCGCGCGAAAATAAAGTATCTTTCGCAACGAAGGTAACTTGGAGGAGGAGGAAAGGAACAAGAAAAATGTCCTCCATGACCAGTGTCGGAGACAGAGACGCGGACGCGGCAGACCCGGCCCCGAGAGACCAGTGAGGCGGGAGTACCAACGGCAGGTGACGGTTCTTCTGGACGTTATTCACAGGTACTCCAAGCACATGCCGAATGACTCTCGTCACATTATTTAATTGCTGGCGTTGATGACTCTTTAGCACTAACATAGATGCCTATAAAAAAAGCAGCATCCATATATATATATATATATATATATATATATATATATATATATATATATATATATATATATATATATATATATATATATATATATATATATATATATATATATATATAGTCTTTCCTGTAGACATATTTTATTAAATATGACCGAAAAAGTAAGATTAATAATTCTAACACGAATTTTCTCAATCTTTCGTACATTATGCTTCACTGTTGGAGGTAAATCAAAAATCACTTCTCCAAAATTCATTTTTATTTCTAGTCTGACGCGACACGGGCGCGTTTCGTAAAACTTATTACATTTTCAAAGACTTCACAAATACACAACTGATTAGAACTTGCGTTTCCCTGATTTTATATCTACATTTGAGTGAGGTGGGAAGGGTGATGTGGCATTACATTTGAGTAAGGTGGGAAGGATGATGTGGCATTAGAGGATATTAATAGGGTATTAAAAGTATCAACACAAGACAGAACACGAAACAATGGATATTGAATAGAAGTGTTTGTAGAAAGCCTATTGGTCCATATTTCTTGATGCTTCTATATTGGAGCGGAGTCTTGAGGTGGGTAGAATATAGTTGTGCAATAATTGGCTGTTGATTGCTGGTGTTGACTTCTTGATGTGTAGTGCCTCGCAAACGTCGAGCCGCCTGCTATCGCTGTATCTATCGATGATTTCTGTGTTGTTTACTAGGATTTCTCTGGCGATGGTTTGGTTATGGGAAGAGATTATATGTTCCAACATATAATCTCTTCCTATGTTCCAACATATAATCTCTTCCCATAACCAAACCATCGCCAGAGAAATCCTAGTAAACAACACAGAAATCATCGATAGATACAGCGATAGCAGGCGGCTCGACGTTTGCGAGGCACTACACATCAAGAAGTCAACACCAGCAATCAACAGCCAATTATTGCACAACTATATTCTACCCACCTCAAGACTCCGCTCCAATATAGAAGCATCAAGAAATATGGACCAATAGGCTTTCTACAAACACTTCTATTCAATATCCATTGTTTCGTGTTCTGTCTTGTGTTGATACTTTTAATACCCTATTAATATCCTCTAATGCCACATCATCCTTCCCACCTTACTCAAATGTAATGCCACATCACCCTTCCCACCTCACTCAAATGTAGATATAAAATCAGGGAAACGCAAGTTCTAATCAGTTGTGTATTTGTGAAGTCTTTGAAAATGTAATAAGTTTTACGAAACGCGCCCGTGTCGCGTCAGACTAGAAATAAAAATGAATTTTGGAGAAGTGATTTTTGATTTACCTCCAACAGTGAAGCATAATGTACGAAAGATTGAGAAAATTCGTGTTAGAATTATTAATCTTACTTTTTCGGTCATATTTAATAAATATATATATATATATATATATATATATATATATATATATATATATATATATATATATATATATATATATATATATATATATATATGTGTGTGATGTGTGTGTGTAAATCACGAAAAAAAACACGTGATTAAAAAATGTGACAGTCAGACCACGGAGGAAAATTGAAAGAGGAATTTCTTTAAGTACTTTCGTATATTAATACATCTTCAGAAGGAGTGGTTTTATAGGTCTTTCAATTTTCTTTCAATTCTCCTCCGTGGTCTGACACTGTCATATATATATATATATATATATATATATATATATATATATATATATATATATATATATATATATATATATATATATATATATATATATATATATATATATATATATACCGTAATATACAAAATATATATGCATAATATAGATATATAGATGTATATGTCAGCTTAGTGTTTTAGATATATTTGAGAGGGTTTGAAAATATTCAAGTAGCGATGTTTACGGCGGCAGTTTACCTTGGCCGTGTTCGTCTGAAATTATTGTTTAGTATCAGTGCTATTGTAATGCTTATTGCAGCAATAATGTTTATTGTGGGTTAAGTGTAAAGTGTTACAAAATATGAAGGTGTTAGAGTAACAGCATTGTTAACCATCGGTGTTGCGTGATGTCATCGATGTTTACTCGATGTTTAGCTAATTCATTCACTTGAATCATCAGAAGTATGAGACTTGTCCTATCAACTAGTGACCTTTGACTGTTTAGTTATAGAAATGTTTACATTTGGCACTATGTAATGCCACAATTTAGTGGCAAGCTTAGGTTATGGACGAGGTTAGGCATAATAGGAATTTAAAATAGCCTATGTTTATTTACATAGGTAATTTGCATACAGAGAGTTAGTGATTACTTAAAAAGTTACTGGGGCGGCCTGCTGTATGCATATTTAATATCTTGCATAGTCTCATTACCAGGAGGCTATGTAACGTATCATTTGAATATGAGAATGTTCTGTATTATGTTTAGTTCTTATACAATTTTATGATATTTGCATATCAGAATTTAGTGCTTAATGTAATATGATGCGCAAATCAAGGTAGGCCACTGTACAGTTATTTACAGGAATTAGGAGTGGACGGAGAATGTTTTGTGATCTATAGTTAGTTGTGTGACTTTGCCTATGAGGTCCAAGGATTTCGGAACTAATAAATATGCAAGACCTAAATTCTGCCTATGGGGTCCAAAGATTTCGGAACTAATTAATATGCAAGACCTGAATTCGAACACGCCAACGATGACGTCACTGCCCAAAACGCCATGTCCACTACAGTCACCTAAGTTTTCATTACCCTATCACCTGACATAATTTTGTATGCATAGTTTATTGGTCATTCACTCCACTTTTCTTCTACTCTTATTTCTATGACATAATTTTTGTATGCAGCTGACTTTCAGTGTTATAAATTAGATGTTTCCTCATGTCTTGTCCTACCTCACTTGTAGGTTCAAAACGCCGTGCAAATTCTAATAAGTATAATGCGCTATACAGTTTGTTTATGTTCTTTTCGTCAACTTTGAACAAATATGACATTTGGAGAAATCCTCTTCCGATTAAACCAAGGTACAAGATCTTTATTTAGAGGGATAGAAGCCTTAAACTGGAAAATAATCAACACGAAATATGCAGTCATATTCAATGAAACACACACACACACACACACACACACACTGATCCTACAGTACTAACTGGTCAACATTTTAATTTTCGTGACCTATTTTATATGTACAAAAGCCAAATGAGCGTAACGTTTTCTTGGATGTTTTACTTCACAGGGGCAGTGTTTCCTCCCTGGCGTATGTGCAAATGATCAGATGAAGTTTACCAAGAAAATATCGAAACGAATCTTCGTAATCGTTGTTGTTACGCTGGCAACGTTTGGCTTCATGATTGGTGCAACCATCACTATGCAACCAGTCCCCAGATCGCCTGAAGGCGACGGTGGAGTATGCACAGACATATTTGAAATTGGCGAAAGGGCGGAAAATATGTCGAGCATGATGGAGTTGGCCGTCAGGGTGATCAGGAAGAAGAGGAAGATGAAGATGTTTGCTCCTTTTACATTCTATGAGATTGTGAGTTACGAGATGCCATCAATGGTTCGCGAGGTGGCCGACGGCTCCGGCCTCAACCACTCCAACGTCACACTCACTCAGGTCAGTGCCCCCCCCCCTCCACCTACATGAATACCCTCGCTCAGGTCCGTGCCCCCCCCCTCCACCTACATGAATACCCTCGCTCAGGTCAGTGCCTCCCCTCACCACCTTCGCTCAGGTCAGTGCCCCCCCCTCCACCTACATGAATACCCTCGCTCAGGTCCGTGCCCCCCCCCCTCCACCTACATGAATACCCTCGCTCAGGTCAGTGCCTCCCCTCACCACCTTCGCTCAGGTCAGTGCCCCCCCCTCCACCTACATGAATACCCTCGCTCAGGTCAGTGCCCCCCCTTCCACCTACATGAATACCCTCGCTCAGGTCCGTGCCCCCCCCCCTCCACCTACATGAATACCCTCGCTCAGGTCAGTGCCCCCCCTCTCCACCTACATGAATACCCTCGCTCAGGTCAGTGCCCCCCCTCTCCACCTACATGAATACCCTCGCTCAGGTCAGTGCCCCCCTCACCACCTACATGAATACCCTCGCTCAGGTCAGTGCCCCCCTCACCACCTACATGAATACCCTCGCTCAGGTCAGTGCCCCCCCTCACCACCTACATGAATACCCTCGCTCAGGTCAGTGCCCCCCCTCACCACCTACATGAATACCCTCGCTCAGGTCAGTGCCTCCCCTCACCACCACCACCCTCGCTCAGGTCAGTGCCTCCCCTCACCACCACCACCCTCGCTCAGGTCAGTGCCTCCCCTCACCACCACCACCCTCGCTCAGGTCAGTGCCCCCCCTCACCACCACCACCCTCGCTCAGGTCAGTGCCCCCCCACACCACCACCACCCTCGCTCAGGTCAGTGCCTCCCCTCACCACCACCACCCTCGCTCAGGTCAGTGCCTCCCCTCACCACCACCACCCTCGCTCAGGTCAGTGCCTCCCCTCACCACCACCACCCTCGCTCAGGTCAGTGCCTCCCCTCACCACCACCACCCTCGCTCAGGTCAGTGCCTCCCCTCACCACCACCACCCTCGCTCAGGTCAGTGCCTCCCCTCACCACCACCACCCTCGCTCAGGTTAGTGCCTCCCCTCACCACCACCACCCTCGCTCAGGTCAGTGCCTCCCCTCACCACCACCACCCTCGCTCAGGTCAGTGCCTCCCCTCACCACCACCACCCTCGCTCAGGTCAACAGAAACACGCATATAATGTTCCTGCAATATCAATATACTTATGTTGCATCAACATTCGAAAGGTCATTTCGTATCCTTTATTCAGACATGGAGACTTCAGCAGACGAAGGGTCAGCTGCCTCACCTGGCATGCCGCTTGCGGGAATTGCGGGACGAGGATATCCGCATCTGTGTTCAGAGGCGGCGGGAAACGGTAGGCTCCACTCACATTGCCTACGTGGGGGACTCCCGTGTGAGGCAACATGTTGAGGTGCTTCTCGACCACATCCGACACCTCCAGCCCAAAATCACAACCCATCTGGTAAGGCCCCACATCTTGCCGAACTTGCCTAACCTTCCCAATACAAGCATAATTCTTGTGAAATCAGAGTGGAAAACTGTTGTAAAAATATGAGAATTTTCCCACGTTTCACGGTAGCTTGAATTTAGCGTGTAATGTCCAATAGGCCCAGAGGCAAAATCCCAACACTAGCAGTTCTGTATACATATCGGGAGGAAATCTACAGCAAAGAAAAAGGTGATGAAACGGGCTTGAGTGACGGGGTGAACAAGAGCACCTAACCAACAGAAGACAGTAGCATTGAGAACAAAGACGCTGTGGTGATATATTACTAGTGGGGTCCCTCAGGGATCAGTACTAGGTCATGTTTACTACCTGATGTATGTAGATAAGCTCCCGGAAGGAACAAATTCCATGTTTTCAGTGTTTGCAGTTCAATCAATTCAATCAGAATTGATGCAGCAATTCTGAGGATAGGGTGATAGCGTGCAAGAAACTACAGGATGACCTTGACAAATTGAAAGAATGGTCGTTACAGTGCGTACTAGAGTTTAACTCAAGTCCCAGGAACATTCTAGGAACAAGAAACTGGACACATGTTACCAAACGGAAATTGAAACCCTCCAGAAATTGGATAGAGAAAAGTATTTGGAATTTTATAATATACTGAACCTGTCTCCTGAAATCTACTTTAGCTATAATCAACCTCATATACAAGGTTAGCTAACATAAGAACTGCCCTTAGTTATCTAAATAGGGAGTTATTTAGGACCTTGTATATCGCATATAAACCATTACTACAGTAGAATATGCAGCACCAGTGAGGACTCTATATCTCATAAAACGGTAAACGAAGGTAGAGAAAGTCCAGAGGTATACCACCAGACACGTACCAGAGCTGAGAGGTATGATTTAAAGAGCTGAAACTAAAGTAGTTAAACCTCCATTCACTTGCAAATTGAAGTCAGCAGAGACATGCTTTTTACATGCAAAATTATTGTGGAAATAGAGTTGGTAATGACACACTAGTAAGAATTGGTGATTAATGAATAAGGGAACATGGAGAAACTAAGTACCTGAGTGAGTCAAAGATGTTCGAAGTATGTACAATATACAGTACTAAAAATTTTAATGCTGGAGGCAGATTTCACTTACAGCTTCACATGTAGGTGTGAAAAGTAGTCCCAAAATGCTTGAGAATCTGTACACCAGTTGATTGACGTGCCTGAATTTATCTAAGGGCCACCACGCCACCTCTAGTGAGCTTGACCGGGACGGGAAGACAGTGGCTTGTCAAAAGTTCTCTTCTTATTATAAGGATTTTTTCCAGCTGAATTTTAAACTGAACTATTGTTTTGGCATTTAACCAAACTTACTTTATCTTCAACTTTATCTTTAACAGATTAACAGATTTAACAGGTTAACTTTATCTTCAACAGATAAATGATTCCATGGGTTTAAACCCTATGGGTTAAAAAGCATCTCTTTGTTTTCCGTGTTACATTGCGACTTGTTGGGCTTGTGGCTGCTTCTCTGTGGAGATGTGTAAGTTTAGTTCTGACTCACAGAATAGAGGATTTTGTTTTTATCTCCTTCTGTCTTGATCACTTGCCCCTATCCTTATCTTTAGCTTTGTATTTGTGTTGTTCTCAACAACTTTATCTTATCTCTTAATTCTTTGTTGTAATTTTACTGTGAAAGTTGGTCATGCTTATCAGAGAGCTAAATCTCAACAGCCATAAGCACTGTTGGGCCTGTACATGAAGAACCGAATAAGGGTCAACAACTTGCAAACCAAAACAAGACAGGGAAGAAGAGATTGAAGTGAAGTCATGCAAAACGATGATGTTGGAACCGAATTGCATCAACTACTTGGCCAGTCAATAGGTTATATTATTGAGTATATACAAGAATATATTTACCAAGTCTACTAAGTTCTACTATGAGTAGGAAGTATATATTTATCCCTTAGAAACTTTATCATCTCTCAGTCCATAACTGTGGCAGCAGCAGGATGAACCATGGTAATATCAAACTTTGGAATTGATGGCTGGTTATCTGTTTCAAGTCTTATTCACAGTAATAGCTACTTTACAAGCAAGGCTTTCTTTTAACAAAATTTCTTTGATACAAGTTGTATTGTTGTGTAGGATGCTGTCAAATCCAACCTTTAGTACAACATGTGTTAAATTAAGGTCAAGTTGGAGGGAATATTATTGATTATATAAAATAAAAAGATGAAAATCAAAATGTTGTTAAGGTCTTTAGTTGATAAAGCTGTTTGTGTGTTGTCTAGGGCGAAGTGATCACTGTTGAGAAGTTCCTGGGAGAAGAAGGCCTAAAGAACTGGAAGAAGTACAAGCATGACTTCCGCATTGAGTGCACTAGGGCATTTGGTCTCATCGTGGATTTCCACTGGGCAGCTCTCATTGACAAGGGAGAGAAACCCCCCAGCGGGGAGGAGGCGACTAAGATTGGGGCACTCGACCTCCTCCACCGTTGGCTCGAGGCGCCCAGTGACCAGATACCTGATCTTATCATTTTAAGTGGGTTTCACCTTTGTGTTTTTTATTTTAACATTAAATTTTGACATTTTAGTTGCATGCAACTTATAAACAAAATAATTTATTTTTATCTTTACCATATAATAGCATCAAATCTAAAAGAATTAAGAAAGTTGACATGTACAGCAAAGTCTGAGGTAAAATGCTAAAATGTGGTTATGAGTGAAAAGATATGATTGTCATGATAAAAAAGGTTGGGAGTATGAGGAGCAGGTGTGACATTAGTCAGGGACTGGAAATATGAGGGGCAGGCATTGTCAGCCAAAAGATGAACATGCAGGGAACTAGATAACTATACCCAATTTCCACTGATCACTGCCATGGAATACTGAACTGTATACTCAGGATGAAGAGTATAATCTGTAAGTAAGAATGCATAAAATTTACCAAAATGTAGCAAATTAATTAAAACAAAAGTTTTCAATAATTTGTTACATTTGTTACTCTGCTGCTTTGGAAGAAATTTAATCTGTAAAATAGAATGTTTTTGTCTGTCTAAAGTAGGCCGGATGCTTGGGGCTAGCCTCTCCCGACTTTCCAACATGAAACATGGGGAGTATGGGAGTGTAGTAGGTCAGTCGGGGTCAGCCTAAGTGCCATCGCCAATTACAAAATATCGGCATCTATAGCTGCCCCCATGCGATTTTCATGAAGTCTGAAATGAAACTGCAGATGTGTTGTCTGTATTTTTAATGATTAGTCCCACCATTTACCCACTGTGCATTTACATGGTTTACTTGAAAACGATGAATGAATTAATTCTCGTTACAGTACTATTACATTTTCTGAGACAGAAAGACAGGTGCATAGAGATAAAAGAGAGGGAGAGAAGACACAGATAGAGCAGAGAAAAAGAGAGATTGGGAGAGCAGAGGGAGGGAGAGAGAGATTGGGAGAGCAGAGGGGGAGAGAGATTGGGAGAGCAGAGGGGGAGAGAGATTGGGAGAGCAGAGGGGGGGGGAGAGAGAAATTGGGAGAGCAGAGGGGAAGAGAGATTGGGAGAGCAGAGGGGGAGAGAGAGATTGGGAGAGCAGAGGGAGAGAGAGAGATTGGGAGAGCAGAGGGGGGGGGGGGGGAGAGAATTGGGAGAGCAGAGGGGAAAGAGAGAGAGAGAGAGATTGGGAGAGCAGAGAGAGAGGGGAAAGGAGTGAGAGGGATAGCAACCCAGGCACTAATATATTACTAGATACTGAGAGCAGAGGCCAGGCTCTGCCTGGCCTCTGCCTCTGAGATTTGGGTTAAAGTTCATAAGTTGCTTTCAGACACGGGTGCATGGCAGCTGATGCAACATAAGCCGACTGTGCTACAGCAGATAGATGAGGCAGCCATAAGCGTGATGACCACGCTGCGGCCCCTATTGCATCACCTTGCCTCCCGTTCCACTGTTGTCTGGGCTCTTCCTGATCCCTTCAAAGAATACGTCAGCCATGACTTTAGTAAGCTACGTGTTTTTAATGATGTTCTTTCACAATTAACATGTGAACTAGCATGTCCATCATGCTTTCTTGTGCTACTAACATTTTCAGAGCTACATCTTGCAACTGACATGCCCATAATTCTACCTTTATCAAATAACATGTTCATAGTATTATCTTTCGGACCTACAGTATTATATCCACAGTTCTGCCTATCGTAACCATCCTTGAAAATTATAATTAAAGAAAACAGAGTACAGTACAGTACACAAAGGTGGTGAAATTGCTGACAAACTATTGTAGGCCAATATCAAGTCTACTAATATTATAAATATTTGAAAATACAATACTGTATATGGGAACAACTGTACTCTTCCTTGTGAAATTCAACAAACTGAGGATTTATATCTCAAGAGTACTAATACTTTACTACCATTATGATCTCAAGTTACTAAGCACTCGATACAAATAAATTCCCATTTGGACTCTTCATTGAAAAGCTTTAGATACCACAGTTTATACATCATTGTGACTAGTAGCAACAGAAGTTGGTTCCATTCTTATTATATGAAGCAAGAATTACCAGAGTTTATGTGCCCAGAATTGTAGTCACCAAGGACGATGATGGGCTCCAATTGAACACAGGGTGCTAGATTTCTATAGTGACACTTCGGCTTACGAATGTCTCTATTTACAAACTTTTCAGGTTACGCCAATTACTTCGGAAAATTTGAATTGGGTTACGAACTTTGCCTTGGGAAACGAGTTTGTTGATACGTGCATAGCCGACCTAGTGCATGGTGGCACAGCGATCGCACCTCAGTTTACCAGTGCCTCCTGCCTAGTAACAATCGTGCCTGAATTCTTTGGAAAGAATTGCATTTTTTTCAGATTTTGAGCTATTTGAACATGAAATTTGTTATTATATATATCACCATTGATCCCAAGAAAGTCAATGGTAAGGTTCAAGCCAAGAAAACACATGTGAGAATGACTACAAGAAGCAGCAACAAGAGGCAGCTGAGGAAGTGTCTTCAGGGGAGAAGGCGGCAGTAGAGAATGTCCCTTCCTCAACAATTAGGAAGTGGTGAAGGCTGTGGGAAGAAATGCAAAGTTTTGTTGAAACGACTCGCCCATAACAAGCTGTATTAGGCTGTTGCATTAACCTTTTTAATGACAATGTGATGCCTCACTACAGACAAGTGTTACAACGAAGGAAAAACAATCCTCTATGGAACCTTTTATAGTGAGAAAATCAAGCAGCAAGCCATAAGCAAGTCCTAGTGGTATGCCTGCAAAATGTAGGAGAGAGAGTACCCCGGAAAAATCATCACTGCCTGATGTTATAATGGAAGGGGACTCCCCCCTTCTTAGAATTAGTTACAAATCAACTAGTTTCACACTTTTCAGCCATTAGTACAGGTCCTTACCTTCATCCCAACTTTCTTGTCCATAAGTCCCCCACTAAGTCTACTCTGTTCCTTTGCTACTCCACTGCAGTAGGACGCGAAAGTATTCATTAAGAGATGCCCTGCCATCTCCCACTTTGTATCTGTTTCATATTTTAACCAAATTTGGGTTTCTGTATTTGTCCCCCGAGGCCTGGCTCAAGGCTGTTGTCCTTTGTTTTCAGAAACACTAAACAAACCTGTGTTGTCATCTTCCAGAAAAGAGCATTTTCATGATGGAGCTTTATGCAGTTTTGTGCACCTACTAGAGTCACCTTTCGCATGCCAACATTTTGTTATGGTGTTGTCTTGAGGTTATCTTGAGATGATTTCGGGGCTTAATGTACCAGAGGCTCGGTCTTGTGACCAGGCCTCATTTGGTTACACATCCCCCAGGAAGCAGCCCGTAGCAGCTGTCTACTCCCAGGTACCTATTTACTGCTAGGTAACAGGGGCATCAGGGTGAAAGAAATTGCCCATTTGTTTTTGCCTCCATTGGGGATCGAACCCGGAACCTCAGGACTACGAATCCAAAGCACTGTCCACTCAGCTGTCAGCCCCCCCCCCCCACCCTGTCTTCATGGCGTTGGAATCTTTCTAACACTTCTCATTCCATGGTAATAAAAAAACATTTTGGTATTGTCTCCATCATCAAAGAGAAATAAATTGTTGCTAACTTCTACCCTGTCATCCATAATGTCTGCACCCGCTGGAGGTCTTCTTGCTACCATCAGAACAGGTGTGGGGGGAACAGCTCTGGCTAGGTTGCATATTGATCATAGATTGAAACTCATGGAAATTTAATACAGTAGAACAAAGACTTGTGCCTTACTATCCAAACTATAGTTCCATTTACTCTGCACCTTGTACACTATCCCAATCTTTAGAATAATCGTAAATCTGGCTTTCCCAATGTCCCTTTGCTTCATTGTCTCTTGGTGAAGCCAATACCTATGACACTCTACATCTTATACCTGTTTGCTCTTGTATTAGCATATTGAATAACGTTTATGAATGATTGACTTGTGCACCACACATGGTACTAGATAGTCTCCTGGGCTTAACATCATCCATTCATCATTGCTTAGAGCAAAATTTTGCTTGATTATGAATTGTATGAATTGTAAAATTGATTTACAGTAGTTTTGTTTAGTCAATTCATTTTTGTATTTTGCAGGTGGAAAGGGACATTTCACTCAACAGACGAATGATATCCTGGAGTGGCTTCTAAATGCACAGATTGACCTACAGGCACCTGGGGTAATAATATGGGACTCCTTCTTACCTGTAGCTTATGCATCAAGGTCAGATTGCATAAAATTATACGCTGAAAATGTCGATCTAAATTATCTTCCAAAATTTTCAGTATTCCCAGGCCAACTTTCATGGCACTGCTCTGAAAGGATGCATGTTGGATTTGAGGCTCTGAGTGTGGCAGTACAGATGGTTTTAAACCATATATGCAACCCACACCTCGGTGGAAATTATTGTTGCTCTAATTCCTACCAGTCATCCACTATGTGAGGACTCCTACCCACATCATACCTCCCTACTACAGCAACAAGCAACTTCTTCCCTAATATACTAGTGTGATTAACAAATTAAGGGACTTTGTGGAAGTAGCAACAGACGAGCTAAGAAAAGCCAACACACCTGTTCTGAAAGGGAAACTATTATGTATTGATGAATTCTATCAGTACATAATTTTAAAACAGTGCTAATTCTGTTTATAACCATCCTTATGTTATGTGATGGACTATTCAATTATATCAAGATATATACAGTATATAAGAAACCCATCCTTGCAGTTTGAATTTGCATATTAAAATAAAACTGTTCAAGTCTGATTACAGGAAGAAGTGCCACCTTTAGCTAGATTATGTATTCAATGTGTAATGTACAATATGCTATAGTTTTCCAAAGCCAGATAAACTGTTTCATTTCCTGGGAAACTTCTAGGGGGCTTCCTGTAGCTATCTCACTAACATTGCTCTAGTCACATTAGTTGCACGAGTTCATTTGGTTTTACCAAAGACGAAACCTGGCCCCCTTCATGCGAGGAGCAGAAAACTAATGACTGCCATTTCACTGAGAAAGCATCCAGAAAGCCAGTGAAACCTTACAGACAACAGCTGGGTGCCCAAGACTCAAAAACCACTAAAATGGCAAATAGCAATTCAAACAAAATACTGTATATAACACACACAAAACTAGCTAGAATCCAAAAGGACTGAATGCCATCACCAGGCAGCTCGGTGCTCTTGGTTTCAACAGACCAATGTGGTCCTCTTTGGTCCTATCCCCTGTGGTGCTGGACACTGAATGGCTTGTCTTCTGAATTCTCGAGGTTTCTCTTCGTGCAGTCCATGTATGGGGCGTTTCCAGTGTCTTTGCGGACAGTTTGTCTCGGTTCCATCCCATCTCCATGGAATGGATTACAAATGACATCTTTCCAGTGGCTCTATGAGATGTTCAATCACCCCGAGGTGGATCTTTTCATCTCAGTATGGAACCGGTGCCTTCCATCCTATGTGCCGCCATTCCCTGATTGCAAGATTCTATGGTAGATTCCCCACCTCGACCAGTGCAGCCAGAAAGAAAGAATTTACCTCTTCTGCCATTCCCCCCCCTCCCCTCCAGTTCAGTTGTTGTTCTGATTTCTTTCCAGACTGTATGAGTTCTCAGGTGGTGAACCTTGGTGGCTGGCTCAGCCTTGGTTTCCAGTTCTTCTAACCCAGTGTCTGAACCTGGACATTTTTCTATGGCTCCTCCTCTTTCAGAGAATTATTTCAGATGTTCCTTGCTGATTTGACCTCTGCATCTCTTCGGGTTTGGAAATTCTGACACAAAATTATCACCATTTTTATGGTCCGCAGGTGGCTGGGTTATTAGTTTCCCATCTGCATTTGTCTTGCAGGGAGTATGAAGTAGCTTGGCACTCGTTCTGCCTATTTCTGTCCCTTCCACCATCTTTCTTCAATTTCAGTTTGTGTAGTATTATTTCTTCCATGGTTATTTCTTGATCGCATCTCATGCCCAATACTCTCACTTCTTATTGTGCGATGCTGACAGAGCTGCTGCTGTTGCCTTTTAATGTTGATTCTTCTGCGGCTTCATTCTGCAAGTTGTCTCTAATTTTTTCATCTCCTGCCCGCTCATGCGGGCCAGAGGTGAAAAACCCCTGCCTGCTCATCTAGAACCATCTTGGTTCCTGGACAAGTTTCTAGACTTTATCACTTTCCCTAGGTTTATGTCTGCTCATACAGTCTGGGATTCCTTTTTTAAGGCAGTGTCTTTGCTGGCTCATGCCTCCAGTTGTCTGGTTGGTTAGCTTCATGCTCTTCTCAGAAGATGGGGAGGGGGGGGGAGCATGCTCTTTTTGACCCTGGTGGTCATTTTTCGTTTGCAATTATCTCCCCCTTTTCTGGTGAAGAACGAGTCATTGGGCTTCCGGAGAGATCCTTTGGTTATTGATACTTCGTTAATTTGGCAGGGGGGTGCATCATTTGTCTGGTGAAGGCTATTCATTGCTACTTGCGTGCCACTGCCTCTGCTTCAGTGGGCGCTCTTTGGGATGATCAAGTCTCCTTGGTCTTCTGTTCTAAGGCTCATGTTTTTCAGGTTATCTGCAGTGTCATGAAGATTAACTAGCTTGCCGTCTATCCCTGGGCTCATGATGTTTACAAATACGTATGCTGCACTCACAGCAGTTTTCTCTGTCTTGGGCAGATATTCAGACTCTGGGGGTGTCGGTAGACTAAATGGGTCATGGCTGCCAGGTATTTAGTCAATGTCCCTGGTCCTGTATTGCTCTTGGTCATGTTTCCTGGGGGCCAGAGTTACTAAGCACTTACGAATCTGTCCATCTTTTCTCAATCTTTGACGGCTTTGTTTACAATTATTATACAGTTAATGAGCTCCGAAGCACCAGGAAGCGGTTTATAACCATAACAGTTGTTTGGGAAATTTTCTTGCTTGTAAACTGTTTAATAAACGTAACCAAAGCAGTCAAAGATTGAGAAAAGATGTACACATTCGTAAGTGCTTTGTGAATCCGGGTCCTGGTCATTAGTCTCTATTTTGATTTAAGTGCCTGGTGCCTCTCCTCTCTGGTAAGTCCCTACAAGTTTTCTGTGGTTATTTAACTACAGGGAGCTATCAAGGGGCTTTCCCAGAAACCCTGCATGCAATGTAATGAAATGCCTCTTTCTGGTCGAGACCCAGTAGCTCCCCCTCTCCCATGTCTGTACTCACCTAATTGTGCTTGTGGGGTTGCACTTCAGCTCTTTGGTCCTGCCTCTCAGTCAATCTACTGGTGTACAGATTCCTGAGCTTCTCGAGCTCTATCATATCTACATTTGAAACTGTGTATGGAGTATGTCAGTTCATAGCAGTGTTTATCTGCTCCTGAACTGATCTGACAGCAGATGCTGACCTGTATGCCGGGCTGCCTGGTGGCATTATTTTGAACGTTCAGCGTCTAGCTAGTTTTGTTTTGTCCATTTTGTTTGAAGAGTTATTTGGCATTCTACTGGTTGAGTCTTAGGAACCCAGTTCTTATATGCAAAGCATCACGCATCACTTTGAATGTGAAATGGCGGAATGTCACTTGTTCCCTGCACCTCATGTGAAGGGGTCAGGCTTCAGCTCTGTTCCCTGGTAGGTCAAATGAACTCTTGCAACTGATGTGACTGTTAGATTTAGCAATCTCGGGTAATAGCTACAGAACCCCACTGGGGCTATACCAGAAAACAGTTTGCTGGAGTTTTCATGCACTGCAAAATATATTCATCTATCCATTCAAAATATATACTAGATAATTTTTTTTCCCCTTCTCTCGCAGATGTGCGAGTAGCATGTTGACTATAGCACTTGTCATAAGTACGTGCCAACTTGTTCGAGGCAGCGCATACTTATGGCAAAATGTTTGAGACTTAAGTTATATACACTGGGTACATGTCAGTCTCTGCTAGCTCCCTGGAGCCACACAGTTGGGAAGGTCAGTTGCCTGTGTGTTGAATACACACAGTTGGTATGCATGGTGATTGGTCGTGTTGCGTGTCTTGCTTTGGCACCTTGCTGTGTGTTATTGCAGTTTAACAGTGATGTCTGTGGTATATTGTTCTAAGGAATCTACCAAGGCATTAAGAAAAGAAACCATTGCTCAGGTAATTGCTTTAAGTGATACATGCCACCAAATAAAGGAAATAAGAGCTGGTCAGTGTGGCTAAGTCAACAGTAGAAATATTGTGCCCATTTCAAAGGTTGTCCCAGAAAGACTTCTTTAATGTCTGTAAATGTTCATTGGAGTGTTAAAATGAGGAGGAACTCCAAGGAACTTTTTAGAACGTTTACAGAACTTGGTCTTCCTGGGACAACCTTTGAAATGGGCACAATATTTCTATTTCTTAATGCCTTGGTAGATGCCATAGAACAATATACCACAGACATCACTGTTAAACTGCGATAACACACAGCAAGGTGCCAAAGCAAGACACGCAACACAACCAATCACCATGCATACCAACTGTGTGTATTCAACACACAGGCAACTGACCTTCCCAACTGTGTGGCTCCAGGGAGCTAGCAGACACTGACCTGGGGCATACTGTAGTCAAATGTTTCACACGAGTCAATCTTTCTTCTTTTACCATAAGGATGTGCCGCCTCGAACCGGGTGGTGTGTGCTGTACAAAGTAATGAAACTCGTGTTATACTGCACCATTTTAAGGAAACTGATAGTAAGAAATATGAAGGGCCACATACTTTAATATACCAATATGTACATAAAACTTTTTAAATATACCCATACCATTCTAGTTTCATCACTTTCAAAATAAGTTGCTAGGGTAGAGAAGGAATAAAATTATTGTAAAGAATCTAATATACAATAAGAAAGTTTAAACTATCCCAATTCCTGTGGTGGGGCAACACAAGTCACCCCCAATATTGCCCACGATTAAAACACGTTAACAGCACATTTGTCCAGTATATTACAATAGCCATTTATTAACATCTGGCAAGTACAAGCTTTTCTGTATATAATTCAAGTCACTTCAAGGGAAAATTCACTTCTGACACTGCCTTATAATAGATAAAATATCGATCGAAGTTTTCCCTCCCGACATGCGACAAGAACATTATGTACTTTTTCTTGGAAACAGAGTGGACTTATTAGAACAACAATGCTGGGGAGATCAATGCTTCCAAATGATTTGCTTAAAGCAAACTGTTAAGAAATTAGTTAAAGACGACACCTGAATTTAAAGGCTTCAGTAAAACAATGAAGCCTATCAAAAAGTACCAAGAACAAAAATTCCTTCTAAAATGTATAAAATATTTATGCAAAGCCCTTTATAACCACAAGACCAATGAGTACCATAGCACAAAAAGCACCTATTGGTGAAAGAATAATCTTTGACACCAGGATCGGCTTCCCAATATTACTAACCAGAATTATCAGTGAAATTTAAGCCATAAATAGTTCTAGTTAACAGCTTTGATGACGTATCCAGTGAAAGGTTTACAATATGCTAACTACAACCTTTAGAAATGCAAGTACGCTCCATAAAACATAGTGACATAACCAATATACAATTAATAAAATATATTGTCCTGATATAAATTTATAACAATCTGAATAAACTTACTTTTAAATTGAGTACTGTATGCATTTCTACAATGTATCATTTCTTCCCTCAGTTGATTGCCAGCTACAATCACTTATATTTTAGTATTAATAAATAAGTAGCTACTATCACCAGGCAAGGAATGAAAAATTGTGAAAGTGTAATGTATCCATAATACCATTTTTCATCTTGAACCATTGAACAATATATATTTCGTGTAACATACCCATAAATCAGTCTGCCTACTTATAAATTGATGAAGTTTAATGCACTGTAAAGACCCAAATTATACAAATATTCCTAACCCAGCATGCATGCAAATAATTGCCAGGTATTTTTTGTGACAACTTTTAACTGTACACTTGGCTGACTGAAGCACTGTAGTGGATCAATGTCTTGGCACCATGACTAATTCTAGCCACTATAGACAGCCTTCAACTCCCTTTTATGCAAGACAATTTTAAGGTATGAAATGAGCAATCAGACATCTTTCAGAGGTCAAAAACCCTGAAATGGCAACAAGCACTGGACAGCTACACTACTATATATTCAATACACAGATAATGCATATAATTTGTGGTATTTAAACTTTCATATATACCTGCACATATGTAAGCTGGTGCAATTTGAAGAACATAGAAGGACCAATATATATACTCTCAACTCCATAGCAATACACTATCAAATATTGCACTATCTGCTTTTTGTGGCCAAAACATATGATCTTATCAGTGAAAATCATTTACTAAACAATAAAATAAAGTGATATATATATGATATGCATTGAACACAAATATAACAATACACAACATAACAAAGTGCCCAGGTATTAGTCCTCAAAATCAATGGCAAAAATAATAGGCTACATGCATTACGATATAATGCAACTGTCTTTAAAGTGACCTATTATACTACCACAACCATCTGGACACAGCCTGCCTTTAGCACTTAACTAATAACTGAATGACAAGCTCAAATAGTTTTATTGAATCAGATTATTGGCATCTATATTATCACCATTTTTTTTTTTTTGCACAAAAGTTGGTCTTGGCATGTAACCATGCAAGTTTTTAATTAGGTTATAGAAAGTAATTAGTTATAAATTGCTTGATCCCTATATTATAAAGTTTGCATTTCATGTTTCTCTAGTCAAATTCACAAAATTTTGTTTATTCAAAGACATTAAAAGTAAATCACAGGAAAAATTTAATTTTGCGGATTCAAATATGTATATTAAAACTATAAATCACAGGAACAAATAATTTAACCCCATTTCAGCTACCAAACTTCAAGTGAATTCCTGTCGTTTTGCAGGCAATGACCGTCTTCCAGGGCCAAGTCTCCTAGTTTGGTTGACGTTGGATGTAACAGGCGTGTTAAACTGGGCAGGGTTAAAGAACTGTGGTTGGCCAGTTGGTGGGCCTATCATCGGCACAAATCCAGCTCCTTCACTCCCATCATTCGATGTTCCCTGTTGATAAGATAAAAAAAAATATTAAATGGAAAAAGGTGGTACACAGAAATTTTCCCTTGTATCCTGTGGAGCTCAAATCTCCATGTATTTTACACAATGTTTCATATTTTTCAATTTAAAAAAAATATTTAAAAATTGATTACATAATTTACTTTCTGAAAAAACTTTCAGGGTAGTAATGACTGCACTTGCCAATAAATACTTTTTGGGGGCTTATGAACTCAATTATCATAGTAGTACAGTACTGTACTATTTTTGAATACTAAGTAATTACTATTCAATTTCAACACATATTGCCTGGTTACCTACAGAAGCCCCTCAAGTCAAAACTTGTGGCATATTGTCTTGATGGTGACATATGGGCCTGCCCTACACTTTCGATGTGTTAGGTCCAGTGCGGTTTTAATGTCTGCAAGTCCTGTCTTTCACCAAGTTCTTGGTTGGCCTTTTTCTGGTTTGTCTTGGACTACAACTGGGTATTTTTTTATTTTTTGCGCAGGGATATTCCTGCGCGGGCCCTAAGACTCTGGCTGGCCCACTAAGTGTTGCTTGCTTCTGTTTTACTTGGGCGGAGTACGAGCATTTATGACTCGTATGGTCGCTTCTGTAAGATTTTGTCTCGTGTTTAACAACTTCTTCTGCTCTGTTGAATCTAAGTTGAAATCTTAATGGGTTTGTAACTGTGTTAGATAATGTTCCAGTGGTCTGTGACAGTTTCCAGCTTTGCTTGTCTGGCACCTTGTTTGCCTTTTTCCCCCCGTGTGTGATGTAGCTATTTAGGCCATGGTCTTGGTGTTTTGGCAGTTCTCCAGTGTTTCTCCATATTCCTGGTTTGTTGTCTTATAGCATCACTGTGTGGCTCATGAGTGGTGCTACACCAGTACTAACCTACTCGTGACTATGGGAAAGTAAACTCTAGCTCTTCATGCTCTTCTTCCTGGTAATCAAGTACTGTAATTATCAAAAGAAGGCACCAAACTGGGAAGGCTGTGTAGCACCATCGAATGTGTGGCATAATCAGAGGGTGCTAAATATTACCAAGGATGCCAATACGAGAACAGAAACGCTAAAGGCGAATGATACAAAAAGTATCCAAGTCACCAAGAATTCTATCGAGGGACAAGCGACGGCGAGGGACGGTCGGAAAGCAAGACACGCTCGTCCTGGAAGTCAGGACATTCAACAAGGATATGCACGACTGTAAGAGGGACAATACAATTTGGACAATAAGGAGCAGGGCGGCACTCCATTAAGTGACAGAATTAAGGGTGTACAGTATGGCCAATACCCAACCTTGCCAGAGCCGTTTCCCCATTGCTGGTTACAGTGGTAGAAAGAAGGCCATGAGGACACACTACCCTTAAGAGTACACAATTTGTTACTAGTAACAGAAGAAACACAAACCGAAACTGCCTCTATTTTCCGCTTGTTATAGCTTATAATAAAGTTGTTACATCTTGGCTTAATGTGTTTTATGACGTATTAGAACGTTGTTACAACTTGCTATATTGGTTGTTATAACTAGTTAGGAGGTGTTAAAACTTGTTCGAACGTTGTACCAACGTCGTAGTTTCGGTGTGTGTTTGGCGGGTGGATTGAAGGACCCGAGCCATATGAGGGCACTACGAGAGTCAACGACAACCACAAAGGAAGATTGACAACGAGAAAGCAGGAGACGAAGAGCATAAAGAATAGCATAAAGTTCTGCTGTGAAGATGCTAGTCTCCAGAGGTAGTTGATACATAAGTGCAATCAGGAAAAACAATAGAGTAGCCTATACCGTCTGCAGACTTGGACCCCATCGGTGAAGATGGAAAGGGAGCGGGAAAATGATGAAAAGTGCTCAAGGAAAAGGTGTTTCAGAACTGTAGGAGAGGTAAAAGCTTTAGTGATACGGGTCAAGAAAGAACAAAATTTTGGAAAGGGGACTCGCCACAGGGGCAAGGAAGGAGCATCACGAGAAGAAATATTAGAAATACAAACTGAAAGAATCCTGTAGGTGAGATAGCCCGACAGAAAGAGGGAGGTGGTGAAGAGGAACAGGAACTACAGGAGAGGTAAAAGTCAAAACACGAAAGAGGCGAGAGGAAGGATGTTGCAAGGACCGCATGAGATAGCAAAGACAGTAGCGATCACTGTGTTCCCCAGAGAGAGAGGAAGCCAGTGTCAACATACAAGCTAAGGGCGGGAGTCGAACGAAAGGCACAAGAGCTGAGGCGCAACCCAGTATGGTGCAAAGCATCAAGACGGCGAGGAGTAAAAGGAGATGCAGACAAGTAAGCAGGGCAACCATAACCGAGTTTAGACAGGACGAGAGAGGAATATAAAGCGTACTTCCTGGTAATTTATACCTGGCACACTAATTACTTAGCTTTAATTAATATGCAACTCCTAGACAAATATACCTCAAATATTCATATTATTTATGAATAAAAATTATTACTTCCCTCTGTATCTTCATCTTTTGTCTGCTTCTCCCATGGGAGAAACCTCTTTCCACTTGTCTATTCTCATTATCAGTTTCCTTTCGGTAAAGCCATCCTCCTCTGAAGCATCAGGGGACTACCGAGGCCACTCCAGACAGATAACCAGAGTGCTACTCCATAGTCTCCCTAGACTGGTGGATGCCTACTACTACTCAGGTAGTTCCCCATTTCCATTCTGTATGTCCCTTCTTTCCTGTAATTTTCAGATGCCTCAGGCAGCATGTGAATGAGGGTGGTTGTTGCCCAAGACTTAGTGCATCCTGTTCTTTTGAATAAGTAAATTATCAAAAGAAGGCACCAAACCAAGTGTCTTTTTGAATAATAAATCATACTGCTGTATAAATCCTCATCAAAATACGATGTACTATCAATCATGGCAGCTCACAAAATTGATGCGATATTTTTTTTTTTTTGTAGGTCCTCCGTTAGATTCAAGAAATTTAGTATATAATTTTTGTGAAGCTGTGACAACTCCAGAGGATGGGCTTCAGTGACCCAAGCTGCCATCTAGTGGCAGTCAGGCAAGTTGGCATGAGGGGTCATTGGCTCATTGACAATCATCTTTTGCCTTGTTTATTATATTTATTCTCTTCCTAGGAGCAGTGGTTATTTATCTTAGCGAATAACTTTTTAGGTCTGTTTGCAGTAGGCTGTGCTAGTTAGTTAAGTCTGAAATGCTTTTGGAGGGTCATGGGTACCTGAGAGCAACTCAGAATAGCATAGAAAGGGCATTTCATTATTCTTGATACTTTTTCACATTTCAAAATTATAATTTTTTGATAAATTGACAATACAAATTTCTCTGGTACCTTAATAAATCACTGGCATAGCACAAACATAGAATTCATCAAACTTTGGACACGGTACAAATTTCAGCTCCACTTTCCATCAGGAAATGTTAATGTAAGAAACAATGCCATGGTCCAACAAGTCCACAGGGTTCATGTTTAAAAGATAGAACTTGTACAAACCATCTCCCATTCTTTTGCCAAAAGAAGAACTTCACACACCACTCGACTGTCCTCTAGGTTATAAGAGAACACCCCCTCTCGCCATAATGATGGTGCTCGACGAGAAAGAGTTTGAATAAAATAACTAAACTTACAACTCGATCTTGGAAATGATAGAAAAATTCAATAACCTCTTGAAAGAGTGCATTGTTACTACCAACATACTATATCTTTACCAAGCTGCTAAACAGTGTTAAGACAATAAAACTTGCACAAAAGTATGCTACAGTATACTTTTCAGGGCACCCACATTTCAAAGTAACTGTGCACACACTTCAATTATGATTAACATCACAGTGCCCATAACCAGTAAAAACTCAAAGCTTAACATATGAAAGACTGGAATGATATGGCTCTACCTTCAAGACTGAAGACAGTCCCATATTACCAGACTTTCATGAACATTTGAGTCAAGAGCTAAAGGTCATTTACACAAAATATGGACAGATGTTTGACTTAAGGTGGTGGTAGTGATGGTCAAAGCCTGTCAATGTTCTGCAAGTTGTTCAATTAATTTGAACTTTTAATTAAAATTCATTTAATACATTAGATAATTCCTGAAGCAATTATATATATATTAATATAAATGAAATCTCAAATGCCCCCTTTTGTGTGATGAATTTAGTATAAAGTGATAAAATCTGAAAATCTTCGAGCAAGATTAAGTGATCATATTGCCACTATCGAAAATTCTAGTTAACCCACTGAATAAAATGATCTCCAACAGATCTTTGTCAATGTATAACTCACATGGTGTTAAGGTGGAGGCATAACTGCATGCCAGTAAACAAGTGAATAGATATTAAAAAGCAAAGTTCTATAAACAATGAACCAAGAATAGCAAATAGGTGAAGCACTTGCATGGAATTCTTAATGTGTGATGGCATTAGATTTCTACAGTACACTACTAGAGTTTCGAAGATATGGTGACAAAAACTACTGCAATACATCTAATCTCTTGTGCCCATTTTAAATATTTTTCCTTCCGTTCTTTGAAGGTTTCTTACTTTCTCCCTCCCTCCCTCCCCTGCATATGAAAATGGTTAAATGCAGCTGATAAATTATAAACGACAATTAATAATGACGACAGACAACAGCAACTAGCATGAATTGTGAAATTACTCTTGCCCTACCACTACCTATACACTGAACACAAGTATATCCAAATATGTATGTCTATTTACTTTGTCTAGCTTGCACATGCATGTGTGCACACCGACAAGTGATATGCTGCTCATGGAAAATCATAAATGTGAGAAACCCAAGATTCTTATGGCTACTCAACTGACCAAGAGCACATAATGGAACTGACAGAGGAAAGGCCACAACCTTTTTGGACAATTGAGGATTGAAATAGAAGTAAGAGTAACAAAAATAATTGACAAGTTATCTAGTTCTGAAACAAGGGTCACCCCATGAAGCATAAAAGACAACTTGAGAGGTCTCTTATGCGAGGCCATTTGCAGCATGTTGGCGAGCAATGGGGTCAACACCTCGTGATGCTAATATATTATTAGTTTGTGCACCATCACACTAATTAGCATCTTTAACCATACATTCTTTGTATTACAGTACTATATATATCCAAAAATTATGACAATGAAGCTCAATTGTTTAGCTTTAATTTGTTCCCATTTATATGTTTATGTTCCTAATGATACCCTGTGATGTTTAAACTGAACAATATGAAACTACATTTATAGTTTCATATTTGCAATCAAAATAAAATTAAGCTTCAAGAATTGAAGACGTAATGTCGACATCTTAAGCACAAATTTTTGCAGAACAAAGAAAAGGTATTTTTCAGTATTAAGATGACCTTTAGCTCTAAACCCCTAAAGAGGTCATGAGTTTTACCTCAGTATTGGCTGGTGGCCAGTCATCCTCTAGCTCAATGGAACTTTCAGAAATATATCGCGATCTCCTCATCTAAGAAATTAAATGGTAGATGTTACATTATATAAACACTAATCTAAAAACACACATTATTGGTGTACTCAGAAAAAATTATACAATCCTTAAGATACCAATACCATAATTTGTAATGTTCTTAAATACATAAGGGAGTATACATTGATTAACTGGGCATATACATCATTAATGCTGCAGTGATTACTAAACAAAAAAGTTGAGTGTTACCAAGCAATCTAAAAGCTTTGCATGTATGTCAATGCTGGTATATAAAGTAAAATAACCTATACCAACAAATGAATGTTTACTGACAAAAGGGCTTCACTAAGGAAAAATAGAGACTAGTCTTATAAAAATTTAAAATTATATTTCATAGTATTCACAATAACTTGAGTCTGCATTAGTAATTTTATTTACAGTTTAGGGGAGTACTATTAGGAAGTTTTCAAGCAGATACTCTATGAGGCAGCAATGCATTTCAACCAATTAGCATATCTATACATGTCTATCTTAAGTTACTAATAAGACTGTCTGTGTCACTAAAATCTTCATACTCATCATCATCATTATTATTAGGATGCAGCTAAGTGAAGAACAGAGAATGGTCAGTAAAGACATGTCAACGATTTCATGTTTTGTATATTAAGTGGGTACTTCCCTCAAGCTTAAATGCTGGTAACTGCTGTATACAGACTTTTCATATAATCATATTAGGATAATACTGTATATATAGTATACTGTATAATTTTTACGTAATATAACCGAGAAATTTCAACCGGAATGATCAAAATTTATCTTGCTTAATGGTGTCAATTAACTAAAATTGAATATTACTTACATTTAGGAAATATTGGTTAACTACAAAAAGTCTACATTTCAGTCACTGTCAAGCAAATGAAATTAATATTTTATAAAAGGTTTCCAATACTAAAATGTTAACTACACTAAGGCCCACTACATTCTGTATGTAGTGGCATGGTTTGATACCATGTTCCCCACTATGTAACCCTCTATCTTTCAAGGCTGCCTCAAGTATAGCCCCTTCCCCTAAAAAGCATTTTATTTACTGAAAATTTAAGAAATTTCTGAAAATACAATAGAGTACATTAAATCTGTTAAGAGGTGAACATACTGTATTGGTAATTTAACATTCTTACTTTCCTGGCCCACAACCTTTCTGTCCTTCCCAAGTGAGCCACATCATGACTAGCTAGCAATGCTTAACACTAGTGTTTACACAGTAATTATATTTATGCAACTATTGTATTCATTATACATTGTTATGCACAATAAAATCACAGGAGCATGATGTATCTGAAAAAATACTGAGGTTGAATGATGGGATCAAGCCTGCATCCCTGTGCCTGGAGAATTCAGGGGATGCAGGTTTGATCACATTTTAAGGCCTCAATATTTTCTAAGATTATATTTGTGGTATAGATGTGTTTGCAAAATATTCAAGTATTCTACAAAGAAACGGAAGGTCACACACTAAACGTATTTACTGTGAATTTCCAAAGCAAATGCAGTAAACTGTGCTATTGGAATGCTGAAAGTTTGGATGACAAACATTGTGACATTAAAATTATTGCGTGTGAATGAGACTGACGGCAACAGTTAAATACAGAAGGATCCAAATTTTACACACACCAGCATTCTTTGTTATACTGCACAATCAGGCCAAGTCAAATTTAAATCTTAAGCAAACAGTAAATATTTTGGATTTTCATTTATACATGTGAAATCAAAACTTATTTCTGTAGTAACATAAAACATACTGAATTAAGCTATCAAATTACAGTACTGCAAGTATATAATGTAATTGAAGCAAAAATAAGTATAGTATAGGCCGCTCTCAATCTGAACAGAGCAAATTCCTAGAAAACTTCATGTACAAAAAATTTAAGGTTTTTCAGTCAGGATAAAAATAGGGATGTACTTTTAAAAGACTTCCTAAAGTCAATTTCTTTTAGTCTTTAAATAAATTATCTATGTAAACAGTAATGCTAAATGCTCCCACTACTTTCCAGCCACAAATACAGTACAAAATAAGGCGCAGAATCTTGAGCATTGCGATGCAGAAAATAATCCGAGAAGTGCATAAAACAAAATTACGCATTGCAAGGTCAAAGTGGTAACCAAGCATTGTGCACCATTGTTTCTTAAATGTGTGAAAACCACAATGCAATGAATTACATATATATACTGTATATGAAAATTCACCCTTATGCAATTCAAGAATTGAGGTTAAAAACCAAATCAAGCAAATTTGAATTTGCATTCTATCCAAGCAGTCACCAGACCCGAATGCTTGAGAGCCACACAAGCACCTCGCATGCAAACTCATTCCTAGTGTTGGTATCATTACAGTTTTTGAGCTATATTCCTAAACTGCTGCTCTAGCCAAGGTCGTACTACACACACACACACACACACACACACACACACACACACACACACACACACACACACACACACACACACACACACACATGTACTTATACAATCAAGGTTGGAGATTTTATTCCGCACCATCAAGACTTTCTCAAATTCCCAATTTTGTTATATTGCTAATATTTGGTACTGTACAAGACACTAGATATGACTCAATCCTCCCCAGGATAAATCATAGAAGGTACAGTTGAAGCAGCCCTCCCAAGAGCTACCTTTAGCACTACTATATATTCGGGATTACTAAGCAACACTCCCACTAATTGGCTCGCCTAGTTGCCACTCACAACCATCACTAGGTGGCATCACCTGCCCTGTGCCCTAGTCCTGTTAATGAACAAAACATGGTACAAGGGAACAACCAATTTTCTTGGTCAGAAAGTAGTTTCTCATACAACACATTCCAAGCCTGATAATGTTCCATTTGTAGTAGGTCAATGTTAACCTCAAGACTTATCAGTATACTGATTTTGTTGTATTTTTTAAGGTTTAAAAATGCTGTAAAATTAAATTTAATGTAGAATCAATTTTGGTATTTTTAAAATTGACTAAATTATATAGATTAATGTGGCGGAATCCAGGCCTACCTGGCCTCCAACCAGGGTGGCCTGGTCAGAGACCGGGCTGCAGAGCCTTTGATTCCTGAAACCTTCACACGGTAGGTAGGAAGGTGTAGAATTAAGATCCAACTGTACTTGTATCAGGTTTAGATAAATTGGAATAAAAAGAATGTCTTCCCCAAAAATAAAAACAAAATGGTTGATTTAATTTATGCTATTCCACAGGAGGTTTTAAAAGACTAGTAATAACTAATTGATACACCTTCCTAATTTCCAGGGAAATGTATGATGCTAATTTTATGAGTGAACAGATATTAATACAAGCTAGTTCTTAATTTCAAATGCCATGCCTGAACATTTTAACACTAAACTTTGACAATGTATGCTTGCCTTACCTTTGGACACCTTACTAAAAAATTTACATTATAATTAATATTTTATTGTTTCTACTGTATTATGAACTCATCACAACAAATAAAAATATTAGAAACTAAAGAAAGCCAACTAAAGATGGGTAAATATATAAAATAAAATTGAGTAAAACAATTGGAGCTTACCTGGGCAATATCTGGTAGTGGTGCAAGAGTTGGTGTGACTTGTGGCACAGGTGCCTGCTGCTGCTCTTGGTGCCCGACACCTTGTGCTGCTTGAAGACCGTCAGGAGTATCTCGGCCCCCTTGTTGAAGCTGCACTGGTGCTGGAACCATTACTGGTGGAGACATGGAAGGACCACCAGTGATCATGGGTGCCCCTGGCATTGGGGGCAGCATAGAATTTGGAAGATTTACAGGCATTCCTCCTGCCATTCCCTTACTCGAGTCTTTTTCAGTGTTAACATAACGAGATTCTGTCAAAGAATATTTCAATGAAAAATCACTACTTTGTCCTATCAAGTAAACAGAAGTGGCAACATAAGAGAATTTAGTTATTCATATTAACCACCACTAATTTTGGTTGCTACTTCGAAAGGGAAAAATACTGTACAGTACTAACACCAAATACAACATTATAGTAATTCCCACAATAAAATTATAGTATATAGCTGCTGTACATAATACATGACATGTTTTGATCAGTATAATATATCTCAAGAGAAGTATCCCAGGTAACATCTTTGTGAGAAAAAAAAGTGGTATAATGAATGCAGTGACGTGACAGGTAGCCATGATGAGGGGGGTGCAGCATGTTCTCAACTTGACTAGTTAAATTTGCAGTGGTTTCTGCCTACTATAAGCATATGAACCCAGATAACCTATTGAGGTTGAAGCAAAGTATTCTGAGGATACATTAATCTTTTTATGTTTTAATTTCACTAGAGCACCAGGAATATGACATGGCATCAGAATTGTGGTGGTGTATGTGAGAACAATATTCAATGAAAGTGGCTGGTACTGATAGTAGTGGATTCTTTCTTAAGTGTGATTATAGAGGAATAAAGTCTAGTGCTGTGTTGAGCTAACAAGCCTTGTTATACCAGGTGAATCTTATTTGAATTTTCTTGAGGATTCAGTCCTGTCATATTTGGAGGTGCTTTCCAAGACTTCTCTTGGTGCATTCCACTCATTATACACTAACACAGGTTATTAATGTTTCTTTTCTTAATTTAAAAGGCTGTCCTTGTCCACCTTGCCACTTTCCCTTGGTACCTCTTATGTAGTGATCATATCCCTCTGTTCTCTCTCTCCTCTGAGGTTGAGGGTGAGTTCCTTTAATCTATACAGGCATACCTCAGAATAAGAGTTTAATTCATTCCTGGAGACGCCTCGCCTTCCGAAAACTCGCATTCCGAAGTTAATTTCCCCATAAGAAATAAAGGGAAATGAATTAATCCGTTCCTGACTACCCCAAAAACCCCACATCAAACTAAATTTTTATACCTAATTTACCTAATTCATCTAAATAAACCTTCAAAACTGTGTTCCAGTTATTACTTACCTTGCTGTCGAGTGCTGTAGGCGTATGGAAGATGGTGAGGAGGGGGGAGGAGGAGAGGAGTTACTGTTTGGAAGGGGAGTCCCCTTCCATAATCACATCACATAACCCCACGCCTTGTAACACTATGGATACCACTTCGCTTTCTAAATTTTTCAAACCAGCCCCTGCTTGCCTTAAACTCTTTCTTATCTGCATCACTCGTTGCAGGGGTATTCTTTAGAAGGTCTTCGTGCAACACCCTGGCTTTCTCACAAATAATGGCCTCCGAAACACTATCACCCCTCAACTCCTTGTCGTGTATCCAAATTAATAACAACTTTTCCACTTCTTCAAGTATTTGTGGTCTTTGTGCCGTTAATGTTCTTACTCCTTTTGCCACTTTAGCACCCATAATCTTATTTTTCTTCTTAAGTATAGTGCATATTGTTGATGTGGCTTTGTTGTACTGCCTACAAAGTTCAACAACACGTGTACCGTTCTCATGCTTCCGAATGATCTCTTGTTTCTCCTCTATTGTTATCCTCACATGAGCTTTCTGGCCTTTATCCTTACCACTGGCTTTCTTGGGACCCATGGTGAGATATATAATAACAAATTGTATAGACAAATCACCAAAAATCCAACAAAACACTGAAAATCCGCGAGAAGAATTGATGTGGGGGTAGTCACTGAGCGCGAGACAATAATAAACTGAGGGGCGGCGGGGCGGAGGGGCGACGAACGCGCTAGGTCGGCTGTACGCGTATCAACAAACTCGCGTCCAAACTCGCCTCCCGAAGTAACCCTCGCCTTCTGAGAAATTTTTGGAGTAAATACACCTCGCCTTCCGAAAACCTCGCATACAGGGACAATCGCATTCCGAGGTACCACTGTATTTGCATCCGTCCTTTCAATTCAGTCTTTTCGTAATCATCTGCACTAACTTAATTTTTGTGCTTTCCCTAGTGCAGCTTTCAAGCCATTGCTGTTTATCCTAGTACTGTACTGGCCTTACATAGGCTAAATACCTGGAGTGGATTCTGTAAGTTCTACTCCCAAACCCAGCCTGGGGCCAGGCTTTGGGAGTAGACTGTCAGATGTCAGTTGATAACTTGGTTCAACAGGCTATTGTGGCTCAAGGTACGAGGGGCTGAGGCTCGCTGGCCCACATACCCACAACAACTTTGTTATCCTGACATTTCTTGCAAGAATGCATCTTAATTTTCTCTAACACTTACTTTTGTACTGGCATTTTTTCTCATTTTTGCAGAGAGGATATTAAATGGCTTTCAACCTCTGAATTTCATACAGCATTCTCTGATTATACCTATGGCATCTTTACTCTTTAACAGGCTGGAGTTTACCTGGAGAAGATTCTGGGAGTAACTGGTATGAATGCTTCAGGATCTGCTATATTTCTTCATATTCTCGATTTAGATTCACTTTTCTTGTGATAGTCATAGCTGCATAAGCATTTCCATTATTTTTCCTTCTTTTGTGGTCTTCATTCTGACCCTCCATATTGTTACATGCTTCAAGCTTGTAACAATAAGCTTCAACCCTTCTTGTTCATTAATCTTTTTTGGACTCATTATGAGCACTTATATTTTAACTTCAACGCGTTTGTAGTGCAAGAATGTAGTATCCAAGATGGTAATGTCCCCGATTCTACATTTCCTACAATATCTTCGCTCCAGTATGTTATTTTACCATGTAAATTTGGGTTCAAGACAGTGAGGTCTAATGCATTGCAGCATGAGAATGGTTTAAAGCATTTAGTAACATTTAAAAATCCTTTGAAATGCAGCCTATTAGCCTAGCTCCTCAGAAAGGGAAGAAACAATATTATAAAGAAAGAGATTTTATAATAGCTAATTCTTTGGAACCCCTAAATAAACAAAACTTAAGCTGTGCACATGAGGTATCATCCATAGACCTTGTTTTATTTTATTACATTAGTCCTAGCAGTAGTTCACACACAATAGTCTGGATTGCTTTTTGTACAGTGATAATGCATTATTTGCTTCATAAAATAATGCTGCATTCGTTTTAATTCTACAATCCGTATGTGGCAAAACATTTCCCATACATATGGGGAAACCCAGTATCCTAAGGTCATATTAATGTGTTCCAGCTATTGCAATGTCTAAGTAATGAACACAAGCAGCCAGTGAAGACCATTTTAAGTCATAAGCATGAACAGTGAAGACCATTTTATTATGGAATATAAAGAGCCAATGAAAATTTGGCTTTACACACAACTTTTCAGGATTCATATACACATTGAAATTGGTATTTCAAAATTTGAAAAACTACTTAAAAGATATTACATATAACAATTTTCATAAGGATGCATCAAAAAGTGGTGTTAACAGGTGACTAACATTATATAAAATTGACTTTGAACTAGCAATTCATCCAACAGTCCTACAAATTCAAACAGTGCACAAACATATAGCCAGGTATCAGAAATGTTTTTAAACATTTCTGATACCTGGAAATGACTTTTGACTTTTAAATAATATAGTTATTTTTAAACTTACTTCTTGGTCCGCCTCTTGTCATCATGAGAGGTGGAGCACCTGGGCCACTGATAGCACTCTTAGGAGGAGGGGGAGGAGGGGCAGTCACCTCCTCATCACCATCTTGGTTCACCCACTTTTTCTTATTTTCATCCCATATAATCTATAATGGCAATAAATCAATAAGAGTAGAGCAGTCCAGCTCAAATTGGTTCATGCTTCATATTTGGCAAAGTAATTAATATACATTGAAAGGATGGATGTATACATGCACACACAAGACAGAAATACCATAAATACTCACAGTGGGGTTTTTATCATCAGGTAGCACTGCCTGCTTGGATTTGTTCCATCCCAACAATTTAGAAAGGGACCATCCTCCACCTTTATCTTGTGACTTGTCTAAATCTTTGTCAGATTTTTTATCACTGTCAGACTTATCTTTGATTGAGGTATCTGTTGTGTTATTTACATTCTGCAACCAAATAATATTAATTAGTCATGGCAATATAGTAAATGTGGTATTTATTTCATAGTGACATTTGATAAATGTTCCATTTTTAATACAAGTGCTAAATGTAACGAAAAATGTGCTTGGAAACTCATGAACAGTTTACATTAGTACTTTTTGTTGTATGACAAATTATATGGAAGTTATTTGTTCACAGTAATAGATTACCAGGTATTGTGATAAAATACTTATTTATATTCAACATTTATCTAAACTCTACACATAATAACACATGCTAAAAGCAAAACAAATAAATGGTAAATAACATCAACTAAACAAATACAAAACTAAATGCCTACAAAAACTAATCTTCAACCATGCAAATACATGTACTCTTGTATTGCCCACACTTTAAACATTTGAAAACAATATAAATATTGTACTGTACTACAAAATAATTACATGGAGAAGCATTAACAAAATAATACTGGGATAAATGTGTCGTGCACAGGGCCCATTAGTACCTGAGTCGTGTGACTGTTATGGCCCAGTAGTGGAGAAGGTGGACTTGACATTTGTGATGATTGATGAGTAGATGGTTGAAACAGAGGAGTGGATAATACGTTGGATGAAGCAGAAGCTGGTCCCAGAGGACATGCCAGAGGAGAAAATCCCTTGAATAAAGGTTTTTCACTCCCATTTGAATCAAGTGAAACTGATGGTTGTGGTGAAGGCGATGGTAACGGCGATGGAGGAGATGAGGGAACAGTGCTTGAAAGTTCGGAGTCTCTGATGCCCACCAGAGAGGCCTGGTGACGGTGTCGCAACTGGAAGCTGGCCTCATAGTCAGGCTCTTCAGCTCCAATTTGCTCACCATCTTCATACTCATACAGGTCTCCTCCAAACTCATCATACTCCTCATCCTGGTAGTCATAATTATCATCATCATCAATTATTATGGGAATGAGACCATCTTCTACGTTACGGTCAACAGGATAGGTGATAACAGCTTGGTATGGTGGGGATGGTTCAGCACTGTGATTGCACAAGCATTTATGATGACTGGCAGGGTTGAAGGAGTGTGACTCATATGGATCAAAAACATGGCTAGGAGTGGAACAAGCAACATTTTGGGAAGATGCCAAAGATGCAGGTGGAGAGCTAGGTGGACTTAGAGTCTCTGTCTCTTTAGTATCATTGTGAGCAGCTTTAAAGCGTGCTTCAGCTCTGGCAATATTTGTGTCTTGCCCCAGCCTAGTATGTTCATCACAGAGGTTTGGGGTTTGACAACAAATAGTATCAATTTGATATGTGCGTGGGGTGGAAACAGTGTTCTTAGCCTTGCAATCAATGCCAGAATCAAAATTTCGTGCAGATATGGGATCATCAATAGGAAAAGATCCACCAAAAACTATTGGATTTGAGGGGACTTTTAATCTTTGAAAACGGGAAAGCCGGGATGGTAATATGCACGGAATGCGTGAAAAGGGCAATACACGATTGGGATGATTTGCAGGCAGTGTGGCCATCAATTCAGCACTAGCAACACTACCAGGAATAATGTGCTTGGTATTGGGTAAAAATTCATTCTGGTGTATATGCTTATGTGTTGATACCATACTAACATGATGTCCAGCAGGATTAGTGCTATTCTGAACTTGAGAGCAAGTACTACTGATTTCCCCAGCTGAACTAGTTTGCTGCTCCGTGTCAGCCCAGCTCTCTCTTCTCTCTTTTTGACTTGCCTGGGGCTTGAAGGACACCCTCTTGGTTTTATTTTCTAGCTTGAGGGGATGGACTAGAGGTTCCCTTGGACACCGTTCTCCATCACCTTTCTCAGACTTCTTGTCCACTCTCTTGAGGTCAATGCTACCCTATGATCCACAGGACAAAGCAGTCATAGCCAACGATCACTTACCACCATCTCTACAGCACTAATTTCTAGCTTGACTACATAGCTAGTTATAGTAATATCAAATTAAATATCGGAAATCTTAAACAATTAAATGCCTATGTAGTAAAGGGCCTTACGGGAAATAAATGTTCATGGTGAATGAAGATGTTTATGTACAGAAAACAGCAAAAAGTTTATCGTCTGCAATCATTTGCCAAAAAGAGTGACATTAACCAATTAACTTAGTATAGAATATACACATTAATAGCATAATAGTCAAATATCCAGTACAATAAATTAAAAATCACTGTATGAAACATGTTAAAGAATGCACGAACACATGTACAAGTGTATACCCAGTCAACTCCATTTTAATTTGGGATTCATTTCCCAAACCCCATTAACAAAACATATACAAGACTGCTTTAACAAGGATCTTGGGTACCATATAATGTATTTCAAAACCAAAATTGTATTATATAATGCATGAAAATAATAGAGAAAAAATGTTCAAATATATTCACACACAGGAGAGGGGGCCAAGGGGTACTCCATAGATTGAACTTTGAAAAAGAAGCAAGTTGTATCACAAAATTTATGAACAAGAGCTCGAATGAAAGGCAAGCATTAAGCCAAAATAACAACATAAGAGATTAGTTTGAAAGACACCAATGTTAAGAAGTCGTATGTGGTGAATGAATAGTTGTTTGTGGACCCTGAATGAGGCAGTAAACCAGAGACCAAAGTGAGATCATTAGGTAAGGCACATTAGGTCTAAGATGGGTTTTTTAATAAATGTGTCAAGTAATACAAGATACACATGTATTAAAAAAAAATGGGGACAACTATTCATTGAGAGGCAATGGTACAGGAGGAGGGACACATGCCACATGTTTCTGAATTCTTGAGCAGAAAGCTTAATGAATTTGAAAGAAAAAAGAATAAATGAAGATGAAGTGAAATGAAGAATGATGGAAGCCTGAGAGGAACCTGGCAAATACAGAAGGATCACAGATGAAGACTGGGAAAATAAAAGTACAAACTAGACAGAAGCAAAACATTACTGTAACACACAGTATTAATGTTTAAAAAGCTAGGGGAAATTATATAGATATATTAGACTATTGGCTAGAGAAAGTAGAGGGAAAAGATAATAAGCTTAAGGTGGAATACGAGTGAATTTAACAAATTTACCAAGGAGGAATTGGAAAAAGCCAATTAGCCTTAAACTAAGCACACGGGAGACATCTCCCGTCACGCAGGGTGCAGTTGCACCTCTACAGATCTCCAGTATCTTCTATTGATACTGGTAATGGCTCAAGAGGGCCACCACTTACGGGCTATTCATGCCCGTGCCACCTTTTGGGTGGCTTAATCTTCATCAATCAATCAATCTTAAACTAAAGATGAAATAAACACTAGACAGAAATAAAGGTGCCCAAAAAAGGGGCTTGGAAGAGATTTCAACTATTATTTAATTTTGTATTTTTGTAAGAAGTGGCACTAGTGCCTACTAGTGCCATTGTTTACACAACATTGGCTCACCAATACAAACCCTTACTTACTACATTATACAAAATGTATCATACAATTTAAAGTACAGTAAAACAATATTTAATAATAGAGTAAAATTTGAGGAAAAAATTATTAAGCTTATATATTATTAAAATGCCAAGTCACACTGAGAAAGCATGCATATTTGAAAGTTTGGGAAATGTTACAAATTGTTAAGGATTCATAACTATTATATATTGGATTTTAGGCACCACTATTTGCCATGGCGCGAGTTTACTAAATTTCAAAATCAGCAATTGTGTAGTATATTTTTTTAAATCAATGTGATGAGGCATTGTTAAGAGTTAGCAGAAGCCTGCTTGAAGGGTGGGAAATATCTGCATGACAAAACAGAGATACTGTATTTGTATCAGTACTGTTGAACAAAACCACAAGACATTAGGGGTTGTCAACAACACCATATAAAGCTTAAGATATCAATATGGGAAGTAGAGTAAGAACATTTATTTCTTAAAAGCTTGCTAAACATGTTACACACAGACTCGTGTGTTAATCTCATATTTAACTTGGCACACCATGTAGTTTAATACCCTCAAACCTATTCTTAGGTGTCTATAATTTTGTAGAATTTAGTTGAATTCTAACAAGTGATGCTGTACAGGCTGTCACAGAATTATTACAAAAGAACAAGAACTCTTAAGACAGCATATTTAAACCCATTTTTGTAAACGGCTTCAATTTCAGTTCTACAGCAGCAATGACAAGTTTCAAAACATTTTAATAGGATTGAATTAAAATATATGGATTGACCAATATGTTAAGTTGAATTCTTTTAGGAAAAAAAAAATGGTCATGAAAGAGACTGGTTAATGGTTATCTTGAGATGATTTCGGGGCTTAGCGTCCCAGCGGCCCAGTTCTCAACCAGGCCTACTTTTTGTTACACATCCAAGGAAGTAGCCCATAGCAGCTGTCTAACTCCCAGGTACCTATTTACTGCTAGGTAACAGGAGCATCAGGGTGAAATAAACTCTGCCTATTTATTTCCGCCTCCACCAGGGATCGAACCCAGACCCTCAGGACTATGAATACGAAGGGCTGTGCATTCAGCTGTCAGGCCATTATGGCTGTGTTATGCTCAGCCATTTTCTGAATTTGCCTGTGTCAAACTAGCCCAGATTGATAATCAAACCTAACAGGCATCAGCTTAGCATAAGTTGTGTAGTTGGTAGAAATACTTCTTAAAACTATAATAGGGAAAAGAGATAATCTAGTTCTAGTGTAGTTTTGAAAAGACTCAAAAGACATTGAAAAATATATTACTTTGGTTAACATGAGAAGTTACTACAGCATTTTCACGATTACAAATGATAAAGCTGGCATTTTAATTTTTATCGAAGGGGATACTGTATTTTGAGCTCCGATAAAAAATATTAAAATATATTTTAAACCAATTAAAGCATGTTACTAACCTTTTTACCCGTCATTTCTGCCCAGTAAGCTTCTTCTTCAGGTGTTCTTTGAGTATGAGATGAAAGATCAGAGTCATTGGTTTCCTGAGATCTGGATGGCATAGATTCAGACATATCATTTGCTTGCTGCTGCTGTTCCCAAGCTTGGTAAGGTTCTTGATAGGGTTGATAGTTGCTCAAGTTATTTGGCTGTGACATAGGTGTAACACTGCCACGTCTCTGCTCTCCGCTTGTTTCTGTTAGTGCAATGTAATATTTAATTATTATGCCCTCATTGTGTCATCACAGTATCCGAGTTACAAATGCCTTAACCACTGCACTGCTCTGCGTTATAACATGACTCCCGTGTGGTGCACCGAAAATAAATTTTTTCCTAAAAATTATTTTATCTTGTACTGTATTTTTAAAATGCAGTCTCTGATTAGGGAAAACCAAACAAAAAATATTGTATGTGACATACTTTAGCTGTGAGCTGGGAAGTTAAGTAAATTATGGGCACCGAGCGATGAAGCGCTTAGGGTCACTCGACACCCGTCACCCAGTGGGGCGGCAGTTGCCGCAAATATAATGTTACACAATTATTTTGATGTTTTTCATTCACTTATTCTGTTTTTTTGCTCTAATATTATTCAAGTGTGTAATTTGTGGAATTTATCTAGTTCAATGTGTGGAACATTACTATACTCAAAATTATGGGGGCTCATATATGTGACATATTCTACGATCAATCTGTGTTTTTGCTAAATCCTGTAAATGAATAATTTTCCACATGTTTATTTTGTAAAGGAACACGAGAAGTCATTTGAAGATTCTTAGATGGACAAAATAATGGCAGTGTGGTGTGGCTAGCACTGTGAACATCTTTAACAGCATTTATTCACCGATATCTGAAAATTTGTACACAGTCTTTATCACAGTCAGGCTCTTCTGTAATACTATCATGGCTAGATAATACCAGTTATATATATATTTTGACATTTTTAGGTGATGCTGTAGTCACAAGCTGAACAGCAGTGCTGTTAGCTCATGTCGCATGCACCTGCCTTGGTTGCTCATTCAGTACTGAGGCTCTCACACCCGGGAAAGTTGCCCATGATTTTTTTTTTTTAAATAGCATCTGTTTACAAGAGCCCTGAGGAAACCGATGTGAACCCCTGTATAGCCGTGGGAGGTTTGAATGCTACCCGATACCTACAAGCGCCCAGAGGTGCTCTGCATACCCGATCTAGCGCCAAAGGTGCCAAGCGCAGTAGTGCAGTGGTTAAATGGTCATGATTTGTTCTACGGTCATGAATGTTCTAGGTACATATTTTTTTAAACCAATTAACATTGGTTAAAAATATACTAATTCCTTAGTATTACTTCAAGCATCAGTGCTGAGCTTGGAAAGTTCTGTTGACACTAAAGAAAAATATTTTGACTGCTATCTGTACATGAACCCACCTCTCTATGTGACTGACCAACATTTCCAGAGTGGCATAGAAAATGAAGAAACTATGCTTAAAAGGTCTGAGCTTTGTAGTCTTCTCCACTGGCAATTTTGGAATCTGGATATAAAGCTGCTACAAACCCACATCACAAGAAAGGGTAGGAGCAAATAAAGCTACATTAAGCACATCAAAAGAGAAACTCCCAAAAAGTTAATCTGTATTAGGCAACCTCTATTTAATCCAGAATGCTCGATTGACAAAAGGGAGTATTTCTTCAAGGAGAAAAACAAATTGTCAGATTAGTTGTATTTTTTAAACTGCATTGACCTCAATAAAACTTTCATCAATAGGTCGGTATTAATGGTCAATTCCCAGGTATTACCCAACACCACAATCTCAAGAGAAGCCAAAGATCAAACACCTTAGAGAAGATAACTGGTGAGAAAATGAGAAACTTAAGCAGGCGATGAGTCACAATAACGTGGCTAAAGTATGTTTACCACACTAGAAGGTGAAGGGACGACGACGTTTCGGTCCGTCCTGGACCATTCACAAGTCGATTGTGATGAAGATTGATTAAGATTAGACCACCCAAGAGGTGGCATGGGCATGAATAGCCCATAAGTGGTACAATTTTTTTTTTTGTTCAGTAATTCTTTTCAGTATTCTGAGGCCGCATTTAATCGTCAAGCTGTTATTGCGGGGGAGGATACTGCTTGACAGTCTTTATGAGGGTGTCCAGCTGCTGGACACCTTTTTTTGACCAGGAGAGTGGCTGTGTTGAATGCTTCAGGGTGGCCACTGGAATATTCAGGGACTCTTAAACCTCTTCTAAGGTCGTTGGTTGCTTTACATTCCAGAAGATAGTGAAGTAATGGCTTTTCTGTGACAGTTTGGCAGAAGATGCACTCTCTCTGTCGGGGTTCACCAATCTCCCAGTTGCATCTGTAACCTAGATGTAGTCTATATAACCTAACTGCTATTTCCCTGTGGATTCCTTTTGGGATATTTAACCTTTCTAATTTGGTTGCCTGAAGATACCATGTTGCAGAGGGCGAACCTTCAGCTATTCTCTGGTGTAGGTAGGCTTTGTTTTGGTGTGAGTTTTTTTGGTGAAGATGATTTTTATGTTCTCTAGGCTGGGTTGAATTGTTTTATGTATCACTGGATGACTAATTTATTAAGTCATTTCTTCATGCCATCAAATGTGATATGTAATAATCCTTGTGGCATATTAACATGGATTAGCCACTGCACTGTGCAAAGCACCTTAACCCTTAAACTGTGCAAAACCTCATATGATGTGTGAAAATGAACTCTTTTTTAAATTTTCTGAAACTCTTTCAAATGTTTTGTGAATAATCTTCTAGGCAAATGCTCCAAATCTGTCTAAACAATACCAGTATAACTTGAAAAACAACAAAAAATAATTACAAAGTTGAATATTGAAAACTTCAGATTTTGAAATCAGCTGAAAAAATATAAAAATATCACCAACTGTTCATTTGGTGGCATTATGCTCTCAGAATAGCATATGATCTTCATTTTCATATATTTAGAATATAGGTTTTCAGTATAATTTACTGTAAAAAAAAAGTCAATATGGCATTTGAAATATGCACAAATTTAGACAAAAATTTATAGCTCAAAACATTTAGTTTATGAAAAATCAATTCTAGAGAGATTGTAGAACAGACAGCTGTGCACACTATATGTAAAAATGGTCAAAAACTAGATTTTTGGATACTGAAGTTGAAATTTTAGTTATAGATATAATTGAAGTTGAAGTTATCGACAATGAATAAGGCAGTTCTAATTCATGAATTTATTTGTATGTTGTAATAAACATTGTTTGGCATTCGTACTCAAGTATGTTAAAGTTGTAGGTCAGTGTGTAGAAATGAAGTCAAGAAAAAATAACCCGTCCCCACCCCACCCCCAAAAAAATAGGGATAATTATAATAATTATAATGATTTAGGGAATATATTTATGGGATACTTTATATAAGTAAAAAGGCCCTAATCTGGTCCCTAATCATTAAAACAACCTAAAGAAACAAGGAAAATAGTTTGAAATCTGAAAAAATCAGCCCTCAAAAAAATCAAAGACCCAAGTTCTGAGAGTTGTAATTGATTTATTTGTTGACCAATTTAATTCTGACTTCACATAGTTAGGGACGAGTATGCATTCTCTAGGATGTAAAGGTTAAAACAAATTCAAATAATAAAACTAAGCAAAAAAAACTAAAAACCTAAAAGAATTTTTTGGACATTGTTGAAAGTCATTGATAACATTGGGCAATGTATTTATATGATATATAACAAAATAGAGCATAATAACAATTACTCATTATTGTGTTATTATGCATTACTCACCAATGCTATAAAGGCACCAGCTGTATATCCACTTTGTGGACACTTCTTGCTACTATCCTCCTCCTTTGTGCATCAGACAAATGCTTGCATTGAACTGATGGATTATTGCATTATCTATCCGTTCCAGTTAATAGGAGCTGTTCCTTATCAATTTTTTTTTTTTTTAATATTAGTCAAATCAATTTCTGAAAATATTTTGATGAAAGTTTCACCAAGCTGAAGCCAATAAGTTTGAGATTTGTTTAACATTTTTAAGAAATTTTTACATAATTTGAATATTTTTCAAATTATACACCCTTCAATGTCACACTGCATATGAAGTTTTGCGCAGTTCAGGGGTTAAGGTGCTCTGAGGGTTGTGTGATTTTTTTTTAATTAGGCCATATTTTAAGGTTTTTTAATGTTTTCATTGCTCTTTGTGATTTGAACTAAAAATTATTAAGTTTGGAAACATTGACATTAACATAAGCTGAACATTTATAAAAACAAAAATATGTCCTTAACAACTGCACCATGAAATTTTTGCTAAAAACAGGTGTGCAGTGCTGGGGGTTAACCTAAGAATATGTTGAAGAAAAATAGCAGCAAGAAACATAAGAACATTCTTCACATATTCGTACCATATTTTAACAAAAGGTTAAAACAATACCAACCAGGAGAGGGTGGAAGACTGCCATGGGTTTCTTCTGGGGAGTTGTTCTGCATGTATAATGACGCATTAGGGTCAGGCTGGGAATATCCTGGCCAGTACCCACCACTGTATGAATATTGCGTTTGATCCTGTTGAGTATTCTGTATGACAGGGACTTCATGGCGCGGTGTGCTCTCCTAGAAGTAAAGATGATCAACACATTATTACCTATCCAGCATTTATATTTTAATAATTTATAAAAATGCATGTGTACACCAAACAAAAAGCAGAAGTTTTTTTTTCTACATGAACAGTTGCATGATTTTCTACCAGATTTGCCTTTCTCATAAATACATAAAATAATACAGTATCACCAAAAATAGCATGAGAATGGAGAAGCACATTTGATACAGACACTCATTCAACAGGAGATGACAGCTATTTGGTGATTTTTCTAAAGAGCAAAAATTTTTAAAAAGATATTGGAGAAAATATAAATAGAAAATATGACTACATGCAACTGATGTAAATGATACGTGACAACAATTTACATTAGGTTACGTAGTGATGCGAAGCAACATCTGGAATTTTTAGTATAGTACTGTACAGTACTGTATGTGAGAGCAACCCGTCCTCTTACAAATTACGTTGCCTTTTGCTAAAAAAGGCTAAAAAGGCGCAGGCTAAAAATCGACGTAAATCAAAGTGAAATCGACTCAAAAAAGTGACGTACTATCCCGTTTTCTGTTTTTGGTCATCTGGCTTAAGCTGTTAGGTTAGGAGAGGAAACTTTCAATTAGAGGTTTTCATGATGTTTTGAAATTTTGGAACTTCTTGCCATCCTAACCTACCAGAAGACCCTTTACTTGCCGTTTTGAAAAAAAAATTATTTTCAATTATTTTTTATTTTCAAATTATGGCCTTTTTTTGGCCGTAGCGCATACGAGTGAAGAGCGATGTAATTTGTAAGGTTGGTGAGAGACGGCACCCATTTCAAGATCAATTTTCCATATTTTACAGAGCATGTGTTAATTTATTCTTTCACTCTTTGGTAAGTAAGCCCAGGAATTAACCCAAGGAGCCAAGTGCATAGGCATAATGGTTATTTGCCTTTCAAAGTTCATGGTTTGCACTGTAATATTGTACTGAAGAATACCAGTATGGGTATTGTTCATGAAGACTCTCTGGGTATTTTACTTTGATTAGTATCCTTTGCATTGCTAAATAATCATACCAATCTTTCAAGATTTTGCAGGTCGTTGCTATTAGTATACATGCCTCCACTTTTAAGTAAGTGGCCAATATTTGGAGAAATTTTTATTTGCTCTTTAATTGTGGAGAAATTTAATAATTTTCCTGTTTATTCATTCAGATACACTTGTCTCAGCTGTGTTCCATCTCTGAATGCTCTGTAAAATTAAGGTGGAACAGCAGCAGTCACTTGCATGCTTCAGTAACTTACAATTTTCTTCAGTAAAAGCCTCTAAATAAATACATTTTCTTTGGTACTTTTTTATTATATCTTTCTCATAGGGACATTTCATGCATATTTTGTATGCTTGGCAGTTTTAAGGAGACTTTACACAGAAGGTTGGACAATTTACCCTTGTTTACTTTCCCCAGTCGATATCCATGTTATTGACATTTATTAAATGCTCCTTCATTTATCTTCTAGCTTACCTGTAAGCTGTAAGGTTTTGATGGGAATTGTTTATATGTGAAACTTGTTCCCAAATAATTTTTCATTGTTCATGATCAGGTCTAACCCTTAAAATGCGCAACGCATCTGCAGGCCCTTGCCTGGTTTACGCAACGTGCCTCCTGGTATTTGTATTTTTTACGTTCCATTCAAAACTCCCACGGCTACATGGGGTTCACATCGGCTTCCTCAGGGCTCTTGTAAACAAACACCATCTTTAAAAAAAGTCGTGGTCCACATTCCCAGGTTTGAGAGCCTCAGTACTGAGTGAGCAACCAAGGTCGGCGCATGCAGCATGAGCTCACAGAACTGCTGTTCAGCTTGTGACCACAAGTAAGAACAATTTCGACTTTCAGTTACTACACCCATACTCAGGGAAGGGTTTTTGACACTTTCAAAACAAAAAAAAAAAAAAATTTCCAGAGAAATTATTTCCTGCACACTGGGGGGGGGGGGGGGCGCCATATTTGGAAGCTGTGCAGTTGAAGGTTAAGATCTTACCATCTATATTTGGCTCAGTTATCTACTGGTTTATCACAAACATGTCACTGTTTTGTTAGCAATGTTGTGTGCATGTTGTTCTATGCTACTTCCTAGCAGTTTTTTTTATTATAATTCTAATTTTTCACTTCATAATTGGGAGGGTGACATTACTTAGGATGATAATCAGTAACTGAATTTTCTAGGTGTTAATGACAAATCAATGGGTTGGATTTTAAACAGGTGCTTGGCATCTGTATTTACTAGTTGTTGAAGAGGGCAACATAATGTACACATGATCACTGGTATATTTCAAGAGTAGGTCAGATGTACAGTATATATGAATGAGTTGGGTGGATATAAACAAGAGCTACATACTTCATATGGCCCAATAGGCCATTTTTTCTTATGTTCTAACCAATGTTATTGCGGTCCTTAAGAATGTGAAACTGGCACACTTCACACTTGTAAAAAGTCAAGAAAATTTAGAAGGTTGAAAAATTCACCAAAAAGATGATACCACAAATGCAAGACCTGAGCTGTCAAAACAAAGATGAATGCACAAACACTAGAGGGAAGATAATCCAAAGGACACTATCACAATATACTGTACAGAGAATATAAAGTGGACAAGGACAAACATTTCCACATAAGAAAGGAGGGCTCAAGAACCAAAAGGACATTAGAAGTACTCCTTTAGTGTATGAGCGGTGAAACACACAATAAACCAAAGAGGTAGTTAAGGGCAATTCAGTCCACACCTATAAAAGTAGACAACATAAAGGTCTGTATGATAGTGGTAGGAGAGTAGAGTTGCACTAGAAATCCAAGTTAAAAGGCAAGCCCAAGGAGAATCTACCTTACCCACAAGCACACGTTTTTAACTTTTACTTAAGAATACATATGTGCAATGATGTTGGTATATAAAGAAAAACATAATTCATATTATGTTTACCTTGGATGGGGGCATAACATCCCTCAACTGGCTAGTATCATTCAATCCTTCAGGAGATTGTGAGGACGCCAAGTGATTTGCTGGATGTTGGTGTTGATACACACCATCCATCGTATCACTGAAGGTAACTTGTGAAGGAGGGGCTTCAATTAGCGTAGTATCTTGCAAGTAGGAATTATTAGTAGTAGAGTTTAAAGTGTGAAAAGAGTTATCCGACTTCACAAAATACTGGTAGGGTTCGGCAGCTGAAAGGTGCGCTTGTCTATTAGAATCCAACACTGCAGTTATTCCATGGCTGGAATCCTTAGCTCCATCTGGTTGAGTTTGATAACTATCTTCCATTGTTGTCATTTGAGCTGCATGGGCTTTGGCTGCTTCCACAACACCCTGAAAATCAGCCAGCCATTGGGGATCTGGCATCTCTGATACTTCTCCTTGACACATCTGATAGTGGAGATCATGATATTTAAGGCGGGAAGCTAGGTCATACACCTGAGAGAGGAACTCTGCCTTATGTGGAGCTGGTGTCTTGTTTACCAACTGACTGATTACCTCACAGTATCTGGAAATAATATAATTGATAAAGATGACATGAATGAAAAATACTTTTACTATCGCTTATTATTTTCAAGATATGCACAATTCATTAAAAAATTACACATTGCCAAACTCCCTAGCCAATTATCTGACACTTATGTACTATTGGCTATGCATTTACTGCTTGAGCTCATTGTATGGTTGAAGTCCTTCCACTGCCACTACACTAATATCAAGCCAGTCACTGATTACATTATTAACTTTAACATATGCACTACTACTTACAAAAAAAAAAAAAACTTACAACATTCAATAGCACTGCCAAATCCATTCGTGTTAATCACTTTGACATTCTTTAAGTCCATAAATTTCATGTGCACCATTACATTCTTTCTAGCATGCCTTCTCTGTAAGCTGTCTCAATGTGAGTTTGATCTACACATCCACTTCCTATTGAGCAAATTTGACCTTTGTTGAGAATTGTGTAGGTAGACTTGAAACCAATCAATCCAATTTGTTCCAAATATTGAAAAAAGTAAAATGCTTTTTTCTATACTAAACCACCACAATATGTACATTAGTGAAACCCTTTTTCAAACACTTTGTCTGGCCGATAACTCTCAATGCATCCTTATATAAATATACTCAATCTGAGCAAAGACGCAAGCATAGCCTAAAATTAAAATATTCGTTAAAAATCCATTTTCCCGACCATTATGGGACTACCTGTACTGTAGTTTTAAAATGCGACCTTTGATTGCAAACAATCTGTTACTAGAATGAATGATGTAGCACGAAAATTGAGATGACAAAACTGGAAAGAGTATCAACATTTTAGTGCGGGTGGTGGGTGCATGCTCACAGGCAAAACTCAGCCTAACTTGGGGTGTGCTGCATGTGGCACTGGGCCACTTTACCTTATATGCATATATTCCTTTAGAGCATTCCATTGAGAGCCATTTGACACCCAAATGAACGATGTAGCACAAAAATTGAGGTATGAACACTGAAAAGAGCATAAGCATTTTAGTGTCGATGATTGCTCATGGTCAACGTTCGGCCAATTTTCAGGTTTGCTGCATGTGGCAAGCCGGGCTATTTGACCTTATATGCATATGTCCATTTAGGGAATTCTATTGCGAACAATTTGATATCAAAATGAACGACGTAGCACAAAAATTGAAGTGAGAAGTCAGTACACACAGTGCGTGTGCGCACTGACGTGACACGCTTGGCCCACCATGGGGTGTGCTGGGCGGCGCGCGTCGGGCAAAGTGTTAATAGGATTTTCTTCACATTTGCCAAATTTATTTTGCGAGTTAAACATCAACTTTGCAGATTATCTTATCTGACACACTCCATTCCCAAACTGTTGCTCTACACAGCCATACTATTTCCACTGTTCTCTCCATCCAGGAGAGAACAGTGGAAATAGTGACTGTCACCTGATACTAACAACGCTGAATACTAAAAACTAAAATAATATGATTACCTTAATGCTTCAGCTGGAAACCCATATTCTGTCAGCCTGAGAGCATAAACAAGCTTATACGACTGGAATGTATCCAATAGCGGATTACTACTGTCAAGAGACCGGGCAAACTCGTATACTTCAGTGCACTGTATTGCTTCATTACTGGCAAAGGCCTGTGGATAAAAATTGGTTACACACAAAACCCAGATACACAGTATTATTAAAGAGAAAAAATACTTCCTATGGAGATTTAGAGGATGGGAATGAATATCATTTGCCACCTGCCCTTGAGAGAAGTGGAAGCAGAAAGTAGATGGACTTTACTACACAAGAGAAAAAAACAAATATTGATGGCTAATGCTCAAGAATTAATGCTTCTGGTACATATACAAATATTTGTATGTTTAATATTATCTCCAAAATGTTTCCTATAACATGCATGATAGTGCAAGCAAAATATAAAATATAGCGTCTGAAGGTACTTACAATAGACATTAAAAGAATTTTAGTTGATAAATGTAAGTTACACCAAATTATTGTAAAATCATAGAAATTATGGCATGAATAAATATACTACAATAATAATTATAACAATCATTAGTTTATTAGCCTACTCTGAGCCATATTTAACATAACATTTATGAATAAAACACTGGCCCCCAAGTAATCACCTGGAATGGAAGCTGATGAGAAGAACCAATAAGGACAAGTTTTGAATCCTTGTTAGAATATGAACCCCATTCAACTTCAGCCATGAGGTAACAGAAGTGAGCAGCATACAGCTGTCCTTGAGAAGCCAACGTGTCTCCTAGGGCTACAATAGAGGCTCGGTCACGTTGCGTGTGCCCAGTGGGATTGGATATCATCATTGCCAGGTGCTGCCGCCAGTCACCCCACTGTTGTGGTGTGTAGCTCTAACAAAATACAAACACTTGAGAGCCAGCTAAGAGATTTACCATACATTCTAAATGATACAATGCCATTTGGCAGGAAAAATAAGGAAGCAATAATCAGTACATTATCAATCAAATTAGGGGAACAACTATGATGATTAATAATACAGTACTTAGTTAATTACTTTATATGATAAATTATTTTACCTTGGTGATCTCTGGCCTTTTCCCTGATAACTGTTGAAATAATGTTAATAAAACATTAGTGTGAGGGATAGAGCTGGAGAAGGCAGCCAACACACGAGTGTGGGTGGTTGTATCCATCTTGTATGACAGGGCAAGAGCATGACCCCACAATCCTTCTCGCATTGCATAATCAACAGCTTCACGTTTTCTTCCCAGGCAGAGATACTCTGTGAACTTTTTAAAAAGTACTGCTTCATTCCTTTCTGGCATTGTAGGTAGTGTTTGAGTTGAAATGTCAATCCCTTCATCTTGTGGACTGGCATCCATGGACAGACTCTCTGGAGGGGTTTCAGATTTAATAGGCAAACTGACTTGTTGCACCTGAGAAGGCTCATCTCGTCCATTTAATAAGAGTCCAGCTACATCACTTCCATAAAGCTTGCCATTTTGTTTCACCAGCAGTGCTAGATATTCCCATATTAGTATAACCGATTCCTTGTCATGAAGGCTTTGATTTCTAGTTGCCTCGGCAACCTGCTGCTCACAATATTTCACCACCACATCCTTGTGAGTATCCGACCTGTGAAGACGAGTAATTTTATTTATATGAATGTAACTTTTAAAACTGATTAACTAGCCATGCATTTTTCAGGGAATTAATATAACATTTTCTTACTTTTTACCAATATCCATATCAACTCGTAAAAAGTTTCCCCTTCTATAGCGCACATACTAAATAACTTTGTACCTTCACTGGTGCCACATGAATTGCTACTTTAATTTTCATTTAAAAAAACAAATATATATAATATTTCTACAATAGTACTTTGTATATAAATATGTACAGCACTTATCAATGTTACAATATTACAATAATGAACAAGAAAATGTATAATTAACACGAAGTAGCTTACAGTGTAAGTGGTCCTGGATAATGTTTCATTTGCTGAACCGTTTTATTTAATGCAGGGTTCATGCACAACATCTTCTGAACATCACGCAATTGTACCACAGCTTTCTGTCCATCCCTAGGGTCTTTTGGAAGCACAAATAACAGCTGACCACCAGGAGTGAATTGGGCATTTATGTGCGCACTACCAAATAGTACTGGAGTCATACGCTGGGGAGCTTCACTGCCAACATCATCTGTTACTGATGGCACACCACTTAATTCACCACTGAAATAAACCCATATTTATTCAAGTTATCTAAAAGTATCCAATTTAAATTTGAGGGGTGCATATTTAAAATATGCACAGGTATTTAAATTATAGGGAACTTTAAAACAAAAAAGCCTGGAAAAGTACAAGAGAAAGAATCTTTAAACTCAAACAAATAATTATACAACCGTCAATACAAAGGACTGTATTAATGATACATGCATAGTTGATGCAGAAGTTGCATCAAGATTTAAGTCTTACAACATCTAAGTACAAAAGCTTGCAATACATACAAAGATTTAAAGTAGCAGCAGCTGCATATAGAGCTAAAGCAGGATCTAAGGAAGAACAGGCAGTGTGCTTAGGAGAAAAGGAGGGGAGGGCTAAAACAGATTTAGGCAAGGCAGAGAGAGCAAGGGGTTGCACAGCAGTAAAGAGTCAAGGGACAAAGAGCATAAAACTTGATAGGGGTGGGGGGGGGGTAGACAGGTCAAGGTCAACATGGAAAATGGGCCGAGGTTAGCATGGGGACGTACAAGGGCAAGGGTGACCGGGAGAGGTTAAAGGGTGGCTGGGAGGTTATCTTGAGATGATTTCGGGGTTTTAGTGTCCCCGCGGCCCGGTCCTCGACCAGGCCGACACCCCCAGGCAGCCCGTGACAGCTGACTAACTCCCAGGTGCCTATTTTCTGCTAGGTAACAGGGGCATTCAGGGTGAAAGAAACTTTGCCCATTGTTTCTGCCTCGTGCGGGAATCGAACCCGCGCCACAGAATTACGAGTCCTGCGCGCTATCCACCAGGCTACGAGGCCCCTAGGGAGAGGGAGAGGTTAAAGGATGGCTGGGAGAGGTTCAAGAGGCAAGTGTGGCCAGGAGAGGTTCAAGGCAGAGAGGTGGGACCAAGGAAGACAGGACACAAAGGGTAAGGGAAGTCAAGGGTGGTGCAATCTTCACCAGAAGCTGTGGCAGAAAGGGCTTAACAAGCAACAAAAGGGGTGGTGGTGGTGCGGGCAGGAAGGAGAAAGAAGAGACTGGGGAACAGGAAACCAAGGGCCAGAGTCCCGAAGCAGTTCGCAAGTACTTACGAACCTGTACATCTTTTCTCAATCTTCGGTGGCTTTGTTTACAATTATTAAACAGTTAATGAGCTCCAAAGCACCAGGAGGCTGTTTATAACAGTAACAACAGTTGATTGGAATGTTTTCAAGCTTGTAAACTGCTTAATAAATATAACCAAAGCTGTCAAAGATTGAGGAAAGATGTATACGTGCGTAAGTACTTGCGTAACTGCTTCGTGAATCCGGGTCCATGACGTGCAGCCCCTAAGAACTGTGATTTGAAAGGCTTATTTTTAAATTGAATTTTATTTTATTTGAAACTCTGTCCATTTACTTCTGCCTCTGCTGGGGAGGCGGAGGTGGTGAAGTAGCTTATTTTTAAAGTTAAAATGAGCCAAGGCTGAAACAATGAAAAAATAAAACCAGTACAGCAAGACTGGCAAGAGAAAGAAGAAATAATAATAAAAAAGGCAAAATTTTAATAGTGATTAAGAGTATCAGCATTATTAATACATAATGCTATTAAAGAAGATATTCAAGCAAGAATATAAGTTATTATTAGTTGAAAACAGTGTTTAAAAGAACTTAGACAATAATAATAAAAATGCAAGGCTCAAACAAAAGGTTGGATTACAACTCCAAAAACGTTTCACAAGCTGATAATCTTACCTTTAAAACGTTGTTAAATGAGAACCTTATTACTTTTCTCCTTGAAATTCTGAACCAAAAGGTCTAAAACATCAATACCCCTTAAGTGAAACAATAGTAGTGTACAAAACCACAGCTGTACTAATATTATGCAGATACACAATAGTTACTCTACATATATACCCACCTCTCTGCCTCCTGTCTCACTCTTACGTCCTCTACCTTCACAACCTGCTCTTTAGTCTCAACTCTCCTCAGAAAATCTGTAGTAAAATCAGTGATGGTAATATAGTGTTCCCAGTAGATAACAAATCCTATGACGTGTGCCGAGGTCAAGTCATTTTCCCTATGTACTGTACTCCCAAATCCAGAGAAATTTGCTCATCACTATCACCTAATACTGGTAACTAGTTCAGCTCTAAGCATTACCAAAGGCAAGTTATATTTTGTATGTACTACTGAACCCAAAAGAGGATATAAAGTTTGCACCAAAAATACACTTTTAGAGAAAAAGAAACCTTTCCCACATATCTGGATGGCTATTATGCTAAAACTAAAAACCTACCTGGCAAAGGACTTGAGCTGGGTGAAGGATCCATCAGGATATACAGAAGTGGACTCATAAGCCCCCACAGAAGCCCTTCCATGAATATCTTGGACGAATTGGCTGCACATTAAATATAACCACACAAACAGAAAAAGAAAAAACACATTGCAATCAGTAAACAGTCATGCACAGCACATCCATGCATGTTGCACATACCCTAACAAACTCTTAACAACTAATTAAATATACAACTGAACATTATACAACAAATTTACTTCAGTTCATATAACAAAGTCTTACTTCATTGAACCAACACAGTCATTAAACTAAACAAAAACTAATAAATATATCAAGATGGTTATAAAACCTGCATTTTCAGTACCTAATATCCTGCTAAATTTACATGCATCTCAATCATCAAACTACAAAGGCTCCTTTTAAGATCACATTAAATGTCTTGAGGACAATGATTAATCCAAATACAACAGTACTATACTGTATAGGCTGACAAATTTTTAAGGTCATACCCTATGTAAAAAAATATATATACTGGTATAAGTGTTGCTACAATTGAATTTTCAAATAGATTACCACAATGACAAAATATAATATTCTACTTTAAATACTTGCTGGAGGGAATAGAGTGTGTGTATCTGATGTTAATACTGTAAATGATGAATAGAAAAATGTGTTTAAGTATTTATATTGTTTCACTCTACAGCATGTAAAAATACTGTTCTCCTTTATTGCTCGAGCTGATTCATCACCCCATGAAAGTGAGAAATGGAGCTGATACAATAATTTATTATGTACCATATAACTTAAGTGTAATGGAATTCCACAAACCGAGCTCAATCTCACAAAGTCAGATGAAACAGATGTGATTGGATGTCAATTTTGGGTAGCTGGTAAACATTGAAAAAATTCAGATGGAAAAGACGTGCATATTTGTTGACCAAAACTTAACCAGACAACAGTATACAAAACACAGTATGGCCAAATATTGTACACAACAAACATGTATTACAATACTGTATGGTATTATAAGTAAATCTCTTTCGGTGAAGGCTCCCATGTGCAGACCCTGTGCCCTGGACTGGTCACCTGGCAAGTTTTTTCTGGATTTCCATCCTCCCTTCTCTCAGTTAGCAAATCCAGCTTTTCTATGGTTCTGTTCGGTATCTTGAGCACATGATTCTGTTCTTTCCAATTTCCCTGTGTTCAAAGTCCTAAAGTTTTTTGAGTCACAGGATTAGCTGGTGACTGCTTGGGGCTAATGTGGCAGTGACTCACTCTCTGCCCAATATTCAGGCACTACTACTTTCTATGCCCAATGTTCAACACTTCTTCCACTGTTTTAGGGTGCTCATCACGTAGCTTCCCTTTTACAGCATCCTGGCCATCTTTCCCTGTCAAGCTGTACTCTTGCTTGACAAGTGGCTACATAGATATAGCTCTGACTATAGTTTTAAGATCCATGCCTTGTACACTTTTTCTATCAGGGTTGATGCTTATTTATGAAGTTGAGAACTAGTCCACCTTGAGTTGCCTTGTCCTTTGGGGTTAGCTGTACCAGGTACTTGTTGGCTTGAGCTCCATTTTATATTTTTCAAGCCCTGTGGTTGCTTACTATTGTAGTGTGCAACTCAGCGGTTATCCTTTGTTTAATGTGATGGCTGATTTCCCTACCCACTTGGCGACATGTGTGTGTTGTCCTCCCTTGGTAATTTAGTGCTTCTTAAAATATGCCAGCATCCATGTGTGTGCTAAGATCGTGTCTGGCAAGTACAGTATTTTACTGGCAGATATTGATTCACTACAAAACTTTATAGAGCTCTTTTAGTGATGTGTTTCTGCAAATAAAATATTTTGGCATACCCCAGTGTCAAACTCAGCAACACTGTCTTTGCAATACACAGAAATCACACTTATGAGATGAATCAATGAGAATCTGTAGGAGCCATGATGAGGATTCAAATATATGCGCTGGGTATTCCCAGGCACACACCTCAGACAACTAGGCCACGACATGGTAAAAGGATTGTAACCTGGGGTTCTACTAAACCAAAGAAGGTTCCTGAGGCTCCCACTTTAGCCAAACCACAGTTTCACACAGCCGCCCCACGCACTCTGGCTCTTTCGTCTAGGAATGTTCTACCTCTGACGCTCCTCTTACAACACACAGAAATCACGCTAACATGGGACGTGTGCCTGGGAATACCCAGCACATAGGTTCGAATCCTCATCACAGCTCCTACAAATTTTCTATCTTCACATGTTAAAATCAAGTGTGCATGTGCACTAGTCTACACATGCTTGCAAGGAGCAAGTATCAATTCCTGGAACTACTACTTAGCTATAGATCAACTTGGGTGATAAGTGTTGAATACACACTAGCAATGTTGTGTATGAAATTACCACTAGTGTGTACTCTTGCCAAAGGTCTTTCTACTTATAAAAACATTTTGAAGGTATTAACAGGGTACTGTACTTACTACCCTCAAAGAACAGCATCTATGGGAAGCCTTCGTCTTAGCATCTTTTATATCCATCATGTCTGTCATGAGCTAAAATTCCTTGTTAGCTTCATATGTATAAGTGTTTCCCCACTTAACTGGCACACCACTGGTTTTTTAAGTGCTCCCATTCTCACTACCTATGATTAGTTAGGAATGAATGTCATTACCCACTTCTTTGACAGTTTTGTAGCATTGTCAGTATTGTCTTTCATATTGAAGATTTCTACAATCCTCTTACTTTTGTTTTATTTGGATTTGCATCATTCCATCATCAAGGATTCTCAAGAAGGCAAATTTCAAATACCACAGTGACAATTTTTTTACAGTAAACTAAACTGAAAATCTATACTCAATCTATTAAAACGAAGATCTTATACCATTCTGAGAGCATAATAACTCAATGAACAATTGGTGATATTTAATATTTTTACAGCCAATCTGAAAATCTGAAATTTTCAATATTAAATTATATAATTATTTTTAATTTTCTTGTTTTTCAAGTTACGTTAGTGATCACTTGGACAAAGTTGGAGTGTTTGCCTAGTAGATAATGCACAAAAACTGGAAAGCATTAGAACAAGTTTGAAAAATTTAACTTATGGTACCATCGGGTCCTGTCGTATATACAGTACTGTATACGCCATGTGCAGTTTAAAGGTTAAGCAGGGTCTTATTCTTTCTCAGCCTTATTTATCACTAACTTTTGTGAACATTTACATCTTAACTTGCTAATTTTGGGTTTGCATGAGTCGAGCTTCAGCTCCTGGGTCCTGCCACTCAACCTTGTGTATAATTACCTAAGTGTAATTAGCCAAGTGTAGTTACAAGATGAGAGCTATGCTCGTGGTGTCTTTGCCTACCTATGCTTTCGAGGTATTGGGGACTTTTCTGTTTGCATTCACATTTCACATACATATATGGATGGCTCATCAAATATTGGTTTAGGTTACTAGTCAAACAAAATACAGTTTTCCAGGCACTATTATGGGTTACTAGAAAAAAATATTAACAAGAATGTATTATTTTTAAACTCAACAGTCTAGATTTTTAATTGTCATATGCAATTAGTGCATTGTGAAGTTTACAACCAGGTTAGAGTCTGGATCTTGTTATATTCAGCAAAGCATCAAAAGAATAGTCAAGATATTAATATACAAATAGGGAATATTTAACCCCCATAACTGGTAAGTGCACATGAATTAGGATACTGTAATGTAATTGTTTAGTAACGTTCAGCTCTTACTTATTGCATCTATTTAGATAACAGCAACAAAATCTGCACTACACTAAAATTCCCATTGCCAAAAACTGAAATATCCCGAGCCAAAACAGAACAGCCATCACTAGTTTCGGGAAAAAAGTGTGAATGTGTGTAAACACACAAATTAAAAAACAATGAAAAATAGGATGAGAACTGACAGTACTGTACTGCTATTTAACCCTAATGCTGCTACCAACGTCCTTACACCAAAAACTTAATTACCCGTTTTGCTACATTCTTATTATATTGTGCATATATTTTCTCTAATCCTCAGATGCTAGCATATATCTAATACTGTATTTTGGATGATTATAAGCAAAACTTGGGCAGCATAAAAGAAAACTTTCTGTTGAGGCTATTAAGATAAGGGAAATACAAAAATTAAGTAAAAGATTTAGACAATTAAGAACTTATTGTAATTAGGGTTCATTGAATGAATATTAACACAAACTTTCTGGAAGGAAATGTTGGTTAATTCAAGTCACAAAATTTCTAAGCAATGAACTTTTCAAGCTACAAAGTACAAAAATAAGGTGTTCTGCTGCAGGGAGTATAATGTTAAGATTCAAAAATGAGGTACTGTACTGTGTACAGTACTGTATTCCATAACCAAAAGATCTAGAAGGAAAATACATGTACAGACTAGAGGGGGCTAGATGAGACAAACATTAATCGAGCGTTACTGGAGAATTTGACTTCCACATGCTAGTACACAAACTCTTTACCTGGAATTATAGGGGGGCTGGCTTGTGTGGCCGTAATAGTAGCCATAAGGATCATAGGCCGCACGTGGACTGTTAGCAAACAATGTATACACCGGTGAGATCACAACTATTACAAGTACATTGACAACATATATTTGTGAGTAAAGAGGGCTAAATAAAGAACTAGTCTGACAATAATATTAACATCAGGGGGTAACTAGTCCAATGCTTAATTTTTCAAATTTCACCAAATTAATCCCAATTAAAAAATTAATTTTTCTAATTAGCCTACACTGGTGGTAACTACACTCTTGGATAAAAGAGGCGAGCACAATAAAACAAAATAATGTGCATAAAACAAATCTCTACACCACTAGAACTGAAGGAGTCACTCGATTCACATAATCATGCAGCACTCAAAGATGATTGAGTGTAATTGAGTTGGCATGAAATTGGGCATTTGTACCATTGTGTGTGCACCATTAGACCACTATTTTATTAATTTGCTTCATGAACATGAATTAAATAGCACATTAAAATCTATGATATAAGCTACTCTTATATCACAATAAAATTTAAGCACTTTCCAATATATTGTATCCAGCTGTATCAAGTGCCCACTCAACTACAGTAACCATTTATCCCCCAAACCCCTTTTCACACAAAGAACACACACCTTGCTGCAACTAACCTGCTGACAGACTTTTTTAGATCGTCGTTTACAGATGACCGTCCAGAATGAATACTGGTTCGGTCATCATAAAAGGTTTCCGGTTGATAAGCCTGCCCATACTGCTTCATCCACTGTTTATAATAATCCTTGTAGTATGGATGATCCCGATAGTATTGATAATAACTAGCATAGTGATACTGGTTATACAGATCTCTAGAACCATATGCATCTTCATAGCCACCTGAAACAAAATACAACACAGAATTTTTGTATAATACTTGCAATATAAATGTTATATAATACAATCTAATATACCTGTACAAGATTTTTAAATACTGTATCCTTGTACTTTATATTCTTCAGATAGTTTAATCTGCCTCTCAAAACATAGTTAAGCTTGCATTACATTATGAATGCAATAAACATTTGGAGAAACTATAATAGATTGCAGCCTGCGCAACCAATTATACCCAGTCGAGTGTTTGTTGTTTTGTGATTTGTTAGCTGCTGCTGCTGTTTCAGATTTAGGTACTCAGAACGAAGTGTCTATGTAGCACAGGCTATGGTGAGCCCGTGAGATTTGTTAGCATGTTGTGGAGTGTAAATAGCATGATGAGGGGGTGGGTGAGGTGTTGTGGGGGGGGGGGAAATTGACGGGTTGTGTGTGTGTGTGTGTGTGTGTGTGTGTGTGTGTGTGTGTGTGTGTGTGTGTGGGGGGGGGGGGGGGGAATTGACATGTGTGTGTGTGGGGTGGGGGGAGATTGACGTGTTGTGGGGGGGGGGGGAGATTGACGTGTTGTGGGGGGGGGGAGATTAACGTGTTGTGGGGGTGGGGGGGGGGAGATTGACGTGTTGTGTGGGGGGGGGGGGGGGAGATTGACGTGTTGTGGGGGGGGGGGGGAGATTGACGTGTTGTGTGTGGGGGGGGGGGGGAGATTGACGTGTTGTGTGGGGGGGGGGGGAGATTGACGTGTTGTGGGAATGGGAGGGGGATTGACGTGTTGAGGGAGTGGGGAGGGGTTGACGCGTTGAGGGAGTGGGTTGACGCATTGTGGGAGTGGGGATTAATGCGCTGTGGGTGTGGGGGGTAGACGCATTGTGGGAGTGGGGGGGGGGTAGACGCGTTGTGGGAGTGGGGGGGGGTAGACGTGTTGTGGGAGTGGGGGGGGGTAGACGCGTTGTGGGGGGGGGGGGGGGGTAGACGCGTTGTGGGAGTGTTGGCTTTACGCGTTGTGAGTGGGGGGGGGGGGGGGGGGGGTTTACGCGTTGTGAGAGTGGGGGGGGGGTTTACGCGTTGTGAGAGTGGGGGGGGGGGTTTACGCGTTGTGAGAGTGGGGGGGGGGTTTACGCGTTGTGAGAGTGGAGGGGGGGGTTTACGCGTTGTGAGAGTGGGGGGGGTAGACGCGTTGTGGGAGTGGGGGGGGGGGGGGTAGACGCGTTGTGGGAGTGGGGGGGGGGGTAGACGCGTTGTGGGAGTGGGGGGAGTTGACGCGTTGTGGGAGTGGGGGGGGGGTGTGACGCGTTGTGGGAGTGGGGGGGGGGGATTGACGCGTTGTGGGAGTGGGGGGGGGGGGTAGACGCGTTGTGGGAGTGGGGGTAGACGCGTTGTGGGAGTGGGGGGGTAGACGCGTTGTGGGAGTGGGGGGGGTTGACGCGTTGTGGGAGTGGGGGGTTGACGCGTTGTGGGAGTGGGGGGGGTTGACGCGTTGTGGGAGTGGGGGGGGGGTTGACGCGTTGTGGGAGTGGGGGGGAGTTGACGCGTTGTGGGAGTGGGGGGGGGTTGACGCGTTGTGGGAGTGGGGGGGGGGGGGGGTGGGATGACGCGTTGTGGGAGTGGGGGGGGGGGGTGACGCGTTGTGGGAGTGGGGGGGGGATTGACGCGTTGGGGTTGGGGGGTTGGGGTTGACACGTTGCGGGGGGGGGGGGGGTGACGCGCTGCGGGGGGGGGGGGGGGGTTGACGCGCTGCGGGGGGGGGGGGGTTGACGCGCTGCGGGGGGGGGGGGGTTGACGCGCTGCGGGGGGGGGGGGGTTGACGCGCTGCGGGGGGGGGGGGGGTGACGCGCTGCGGGGGGGGGGGGTGACGCGCTGCGGGGGGGGGGTTGACGCGCTGCGGGGGGGGGTGGTTGACGCGCTGCCGGGGGGGGGGGGTTGACGCGCTGCGGGGGGGGGGGGGGGTTGACGCGCTGCGGGGGGGGGGGTTGACGCGCTGCGGGGGGGGGGGGGTTGACGCGCTGCGGGGGGGGGGGTTGACGCGCTGCGGGGGGGGGGGGGGGGGTTGACGCGCTGCGGGGGGGGGGGGTTGACGCGCTGCGGGGGGGGGGGGGGGGGTTGACGCGCTGCGGGGGGGGGTTGACGCGCTGCGGGGGGGGGGGGTTGACGCGCGCGGGGGGGGGGGGGGGGGGTTGACGCGCTGCGGGGGGGGGGGGGGTTGACGCGCTGCGGGGGGGGGGGTTGACGCGCTGCGGGGGGGGGGGGTTGACGCGCTGCGGGGGGGGGGGGGGGTTAACGCGCTGCGGGGGGGGGGGGGTTAACGCGCTGCGGGGAGGTGGGGGGGATTGACGCGTTGCGGGGTGGGGGGGGGGGATTGACGCGTTGCGGGGTGGGGGGGGGGATTGACGCGTTGCGGGGTGGGGGGGGGGATTGACGCGTTGCGGGGGGGGGTTGACGCGCTGCGGGGGGGGGGGGGTTGACGCGCTGCGGGGGGGGGGGGGTTGACGCGCTGCGGGGGGGGGGGTTGACGCGCTGCGGGGGGGGGGGTTGACGCGCTGCGGGGGGGGGGGGGGGTTGACGCGCTGCGGGGGGGGGGGGGTTGACGCGCTGCGGGGGGGGGGGGGTTGACGCGCTGCGGGGGGGGGGGTTGGGGGTTGACGCGCTGCGGGGGGGGGGGGGGGTTGACGCGCTGCGGGGGGGGGGTTAACGCGCTGCGGGGGGGGGGGGTTAACGCGCTGCGGGGAGGTGGGGGGGATTGACGCGTTGCGGGGTGGGGGGGGGATTGACGCGTTGCGGGGTGGGGGGGGGGGGGGGATTGACGCGTTGCGGGGTGGGGGGGGGGATTGACGCGTTGCGGGGGGGGGGGGGGTATTGACGCGTTGCGGGGGGGGTATTGACGCGTTGCGGGGGGGGGGGGGAGCTGACGCGTTGCCGGGGGGGGGGGGGGGGGTTGAATATTAGGTACTGGAATTGTGAGATGTGGGACGAGCGGAGTGAGGTGGGTGTGGGAGTGTTGGATGTTCAATTTTAATTTAATGTTCAATTTTAATTTAATGTGAATAGGCTTTCCTTGCGATTCTGCGCGGAAACTGAGAACAAAGACTTGCTATGGGGCAACTTTTTCCTCACAATAAAGCACTTTCAAGTTAACCGGAGGCAATCGACATTTAACAATACTGTCCAATCAAAAAATAAAATCATGTGATATTCAAAATGCTGATAACCATATTGGCTTAACGTCTGGGAAAATTAAAGGGAAAGAAGTTAAACAAAGATAATCAAAATGTGGTCTGGATAAATAATAAAAGAAACTAACAATTATCTTCAATGCCAGGGAAACTTTCACCGGGTGGAGCACGGTGTCGCTACACAAATATTTGTTTTTTCCCCAGAGACAAAGAACATGCGAGTTAGTTAAGAATCCTATTGCCGTTCATAAAGGTAATCGATGGGTAGGTTATATGGTCCAACGATGCAGTGCATGTTAATGCCGGAACATTGTAATATACATGGATGAAAATCTTTGTACCCCCCCCCCGTACTAGTACGCAAAATAAAGCACCCTTAAACCCAAAACTCCACCCACCCCACGCACTTTCTCCACCTCGCAGCCCTCCCGTAAGTTAGGCTAAAAGCGATAGTAGCCACTGTGACAAGCCTAACTATGACCAAGTCCCAATTCAGGAAGTAATGGTTATCATGCTCCGCGATATTTGGATACTTAAAACGCTTCAATCACGGCCACTTCCTCCTATATCGCCGCCACATGCCACCTCGCCTATTATACGTATACCAGGCTGTCAAAAACGATTTAACAAAAATATGAACTATCCAAACACAATATGCTAGCCTAGAATACTGTAAAACAAATACAGCCAACCTTTCAGCTTTAGGCCTAACTAGTTCCGGTCCACAGCTGAAGTTCATTATCAAGACTAAGCCTTGCATTATAAATGTGGTTTTACAACTTTTTACCAACGAATAGGCTGATTGATCAGTTACATGTTCAAGTTTAAAATACTTAATATACACGTCGAGTATCGCTACAAGTGCACTTAAATACACAAGCTAACACTCACTGAGCATGTAAAGCAGGTAAGTATATGAAGCCTTCAGTAACCCGGACACGACGGGAACCATTCAGAATAGTGTACGCTACTTGCATGAGGTCACGGTATACGGGGGAAGTATACATATACGGCGTATATGAGGTATACGGCACTAACAGAACCCCTTCATGTAGCACAAAATTATATTTGAGAAATTCCTGAGGTTTACCACACGGCTGGTAACATTAACATGAGAATCGAGATACGAGGCAAAGCTTGTGAAACTGAATATAGCATCGCATGTCACCATGAAGAAGACGTGGAATCGAGGAGTGGCAGGTTTATTCCTTCAGTGGACTCACTAGGTCTAGCCTAGTGAGCAAATTGAATAGGCATTTCTTAAGTTAGTGATAATAGGAAGAGCTCATGTCAAATGTGAGACAGGTCAAATAACCTGTCATGTGAGACAGGTCAAATAACAGATAGTGATGAAGAGATGAGTAGTATTTTTAATAAATATTTTGTATCTGTATTTACTAAAGAGGAACTTAACAATATGCCTTCAGCCGAACAAGTCTATGTGGGTGGGGACGAGGACAGGTTGACGAGTTTAGCAGTTACCAGGGAGGATGTTCTTAAACAAATAGTAAAACTCAAACCAAACAAATCCCCAGGGCCGGATGAAGTGTTTGCTAGGGTGCTTAAAGAATGCAAAGAGGAGCTTTGTGACCCACTGTCAACCATATTTAATAAATCAATAGAGTCAGGCAGAGTGCCAGAGTTTTGGAAAGTTGCTAATGTGATACCAGTTTTTAAGAAAGGAGATAGATCACTTGCGTCTAACTATCGACCAATTAGCCTAACGTCTATTGTGGGAAAGTTACTCGAATCTATAATAGCAAATAAAATTCGTCTTCATCTTGAAAAACATAAATTAATAATTGAGTCGCAACATGGTTTTATAAATGGCCGTTCATGTTT